AGAGTTGTTTTATGTGAAAATATTACATACGATTTTATATGTATTTCGGGGTAAGGTTATATATAATAGCATTATTAAAGAAAAAACATATATATAAATTAGGCTTAGTAGAATTGTTATTTGCTGAAGGCCCCTTTTAAACATCTATTTCAAGAAATAAACGATGTTAACACTAAAATTTATATCTAATATCTATGGCGAAGAAAATGTAGTCAAGTAATTGTAGTTACATCCGCTTTTTTATTAGATTTAATTAATTTTTTGAAAAAGAAATAAAAAAAAATCATTTTGATAGCAATAAAATTATCAGAAAATAGACGTTCTGGAAATGTGGCGCTGGAGGAGAACGCATGGGGTTTCGTGGACCGACTTTCGTCCAAACGTCTCGATACTTGAAGAACTCGGTATTAAGGAGATCTGTTCTCATCAGTACAATCTCACATCCTTACATTCTTCGGACACGTATTTCGGCGTGGTGATCAGTCCATAGAAGGCCTTAACACAATATGATTTCAATTAGTTGTTCCCGAGAGCCCGTTTATACTATTTTTTTTAATTACCAGAGTGTTGATTGTGCCCAGAAAAAAAGATGTACCAGACCATAGGTAATATTTTTTTTTAGATCTTCTCTTTGCTCCGTGGGCTGGTCATTTATTTTGTAAATAAATATAGTCTGTGTTACTTTAATTAGCATAGCCACACCTCGCTTAAATTTGACCTTCAAATGTAATACATGGCGTTTTAATAGCATAATAGGTCATTGTCGAACTTAATAATTTCCCGTGTTTATCATCGCTATGACCATATCTGGGTTACCATAAATATAAAATGAAATTCCCCGGCTCGTGACTATGTACGCGACAATCTTAAAATAATGGATTTTTATGACGAAAGCTAATGTTATAAATTGGAACAAATAGAAATACTATTTAAATTTATATAGTCGTAACACTAAAATTACTTTTTTTTTAAACTGTTTTAAACATGTACCATGTACCACAGAATAATTGTTTTCTAGTTACCCACATCACAGGGACTCCCTGGTGTGGGGACTAGCAATATATGAATTTTGTCATAAATAAAGCTTTTATTATTATTATATCTCAATTTATAGTCTGTGATCTGTATACTTACTGTATATAATAATATAGTGATAGATTATTGTCTATATACACAACATACCTAGTCTGTGTAAAAAAAGAGCTGGCCATTTTTCGTAAAAACAATGATAAAAACAAAGGTTAATAATTTGATCTTGGGAAACAAGGTTTTAATGCTTCAATAAATTTTTACGATAAAGACTAATAACAACGTCCGCCGATAAAATGATAGCGCCGGTACTTTTACTCTATTGACCCTATTTCAATCTTTTTATCTATATCGTAATATTTGAATTACGAACGATTCTAATTACTTTTATGCAAAGACTATAGAATTGCAAATACTAGGAAGAGATTCTATAGTCGAGATAGTAGGCTAGACTCTATGATATTCGATATTGGCGCTTTTTTACATAGATTAAGTGCATTAATAGATTAGAATATGTATATGGAAATCAAAGAGTACTGTAAACCTGGTGTAGCGTCTAATAATATCTCGAAAATGATAGACAAATGGAAGAATTTGGAGGATGCCTTCACTCCGTCGGAGGTCATGGACATATGTCCATATATAAAACAAAATAACATAAACTAAATGCAATTCTTATTAAAGTACTCGGATACTGGCTATTTTTTTTGCCGATTGGGTCATTACACTGACCTGCAAGCGCCCTTTTTAATTTTATGATTTAATTTACTTCAAAGCTACTAATATAATATTTAGAACAATATCGTAACACAATAATAACCATATGGACTTATGATTTCTTGAATAAATAAATTATTATTCTTATTACCAGCCCGCTGAAGTATTTCCGAACCAATTCGACTTAGGGTTCTTCAAGAGGGTACAAATTCCAAGGCGCAACACTCGTCAGCCCTTTGGTATTGAGAGTGTCCATGTTCGGCTGCATCACTTGACATCAGATGAGGTTCCTGCCCGGTTGCGACCTGTTCTATAAAAAAACACGATATTTGCCTCCGTTTCATTTCACATTCTCACCCAGTCTTCGACTAGACTATAAATGATACTGTTTCTTCGTTTACATTTGTAATAGCAAATTAACTCTTAAAATACCGTATTGTCAATACAATATTGGTGTATCGGGCAGATAGCGATTCATCAAGCTTTACATTTAGTGCCAGTTCTCAAATCAAGGGCGTACAACGGAAGAGAAGAACTGGCAATAACCTCTCCGCCACTCTTTTTAATCGCCGTTTTTGTTTTACACAACGTTTGTAAGCTGCAACCGTTACACCATGTTCCACATGACATCTTAAGTAATTAATAATAATAAAATAAATTAAAAACAAAGACTTGTCCTCTATCAGCAGGAGGCATGGTGAAATAGGAGCACGCACTTACATTCTCGGAACTACACGCAAACACATAGTCGAAATAACTAACATCACCACATACACGAATTCAAGTACGACCAGTCAATCGCCCAGGTAATCTGTCGCTGCCATGAATGGTAAATCAAATCAAATCAAATAAAAGTACGTTTATTCAATTTAGATGCGTCTTAGGGCATGCTTATGAATGTCAAAAACGTTTACAAAATTCGCGAAAGAGCAAGACTACGCCATCCGTTCGCAAAACTACCAGGAGGCCTGGTTCTGAGAAGAACGGGCGAGAAACTCAGCAAGTTTGCCCTCCTTTTACATTACAATTATTCAAAGGAAAATGTCATAAACCACAACGTCATTAAAATTACTTAAGTAAAAAAAATATAAAAATCTGTTCTGTGATTTACCACTTTCACCATTACACACAAATCAAATTATAAGAATATAATTACAACTATTGCCAAGCATTTTTATCTTCCAGGTAGTCATTGACTGTGTGACCTTTACACATTAAGGTTTTTTTGATATGTGTTTTGAATCTGTTTAAAGGCAGTTCCAATATTTCACTAGGAATCATGTTATAGCAGCGTATACTTAGGGTCATAATTGAAGTATTTATTTTCTGCAACCTGTAAGACGGCTGGAAAAGTTTTCCCTTATTTCTTGTATCCCTATTGTGAATGTCACTGTTCTTTAAAAGAGAACTAATATTACTTCGCACAAAAGCGGTACAGTTGTAAATATATTGGGAAGGTACCGTCAAAATATTGATGTATATGTAGCTGACAATGCCGATCCCTGGAATGCCTTCAAGGCTTTTGTGAGGCTGTCATGAGAAGGGAATGCGGAGCGTCAGCGTGATGATGAGAGAGACGCTCCGCCAGAAAGGAACACGCTTTCGCACGTCTGCACTGAGATATAGTTTTGAAGATTCCTGCGTTGTATATTCGCATTTCGCCGGGTTAAGGGCTAGGCATGAGACATCTCCCATTTGCCTGCTGAAGGAATTAGGTTTTAGTTGGTAGGGTTATAACTCAAACTTAATAGTTTCTAACATAATCCCTGCATTCTAATCAGAATCTTGTACATAAAACATCGTTGACGAAGTTAAGTTCGGTGGCGGTTGTTGGAGGGATGTTCAAATACATGAAACACTTTGAAGCTTGTCAACTGGCTTTAATCTTTTTTATTTTTTAATGTAATAGGAGGCAAACGGGCAGGAGGCTCATCTGATGTTAAGTGATACCGCCGCCCATTGACACTCACAATGCTAGAAGGCTCGCAAGTGCGTTGCCGGCCTTTCAAGAATTGGTACGCTCTTTTCTTGAAGGACCCTAAGTCGTATTGGTTCGGCAATACTTCAGTGGGCAGCTGGTTCCACATAGTGGTGGTGCGCGGCAAAAACTGCCTTTAGAAAACGCTCAATTGTGGAACGACGGACGTCGAGGTGATACGAAATCGTTTAAAACATGAGCCAACTAACATAAAATTAGGGGTTGCAACGCTAACAAAAAACTAACTTGACTTATTTTTGGGTTCTTAAATGTAAGTATAGTCCCAATAAAGAATATAAGTGTAGTCGACTTATTGGACATTATCGTAAACGAGAATGTTGTATTTACCTATGAGTTTGGGAAAAACTAAAGAGCTCATTTTGGCTTCAAATGTGCGATAATTGCAAACATTTGCGCTCCTAATTATTAACTAAAATACATATGTAACATTTTTTCAACTTTAAATGCAAACTATGATTGAATTTGTTTGTTTGTAGAGGTGGTAATGAAGATCGATTCTTTGGGTATGGTAGAAGGATAAATTCAAAGGAAATAAATAATGTTGTGACAGAAAACACACGGTGAATAAGTTCAGCACCATATAGACCTTTCGTCGAGTCGATTTAGCAACATTGCAGTGATAATTATTTACTTTTTTTTTTATTTCCACACAATTATGTATTTACACTATATATTCGACGATTTTTGGCTAATTTATTAAGCTCCATAGGAATAGTGGTGTGGGCTGTTCAGTTTAGCACATTTGTCAATAATATTAATTATGCCGACATAGATGTATGCGTGGTGTTGCCATTCTAACAAAACAAATGACATCATTCTCCCTTATTACGTTACGAATTTTGGGGGTCTTTTTTATTTAACGGTTCGATCGGGGGCATTAAGGTTATTGTTAATATTATTTTCGACTTTCCAGTACTTTACACCACATAATGGTAACTTTTAGGTAACGTTTTACTATACTTGAGTACAGAGTCAGGGGTCGATAATCTCCAAAAATTGCGTGACGTAATACTTGAACGCTCCCAAATACACTGTCTCTGAAATGGATATATGAAATAAATAAGTTATTATTATTAAACAAGCAAGTGTTAACACATTGACACCAAAGTCAGAGCCTATATTTGAAGGGCCTTAAGCGGTACAATTCACTGGATTGTCACTCATATATCTTTCTTCTCTTTTCTTTCAGCATTCCTGTGCATCATGAGAAACTTGAACAAAATTGAATCCTAAGACACAATGTTATATTGAAGAAATGCCACGCCTCAAATATGGATCCATTCTCCGCGTGTTTGTTATTTTGGGTCTACTCTGCATCTGGGTACAGATAATGCTGTCCGCGTCTAGCGTGTCTATGGATAAAGATGGCGGTCAGTTATATCTTTGTTTTTCGCATATTATATTAATATTAAATAAAAATCTTTTTTATCCGATTAATTACAAGTATTGTGTAAGGTATTGGTTCGGAAATACTTCAGTGGGCAGCTGGTTCCACAAAAGGTGGTGCGCGGCATAAACTGCCTTAAAAACCTGGTATGATGGTATTCTGTATTCTAGCTTGACGTCATGAAACGATGATGAATCTTAGCTGCAGGTTACGAAGAACTCGTCTGTTCCAGGGTAAATGCGATAGGAGATGCAATATATTTTTTAAAGAAAAATTACCAATAACATCAAACGCACGCACAAACAATTTAAATTAAATCAATATTTATTTTATGATCTTGGTTAATGTTATGATTTATGAACACTTATGTCAGAAAAGATCTTAATTTAATATACCTCCCAAATCAAGAGAGGAGTGAAGAACTGGCAAGAAACTCTGCCACTGTTTTAATCAAAATTTTAAGGAAATTGTAAGGATTTGCAACAATACTTCACTGGACATATTCAAACAAAATGTCAGAATAAAGAAACAAAAGCACTTAGACTATAGCTTAAACAAACATTGTGTTAATCGCAATAGATAAAAACGTCGAATTGACAACCGGTTTTTAGACGATTAAAAATGTCGCCAGATACATTATAAATAAATAACATTACGGTGACGATAATACCTCGTTAAATTTTATTAAAACTTGTTTTATATCTATAAGCAGTACTTAATTAAAGTAATTATGATAATATTAACTGGCAATTTGGGCTGCGAATTTCGTTTAATCGAATTCCAAATAGAGGAAATATTAATTAGTATAATCGTTGAAGCTGAAATTCTTCTAAATATAGGAATAATTAAATATTCTGATCATAAAGACTAGATCTAGAACATTGAAATATAGTTTTGACAGGTGACAAATTAGGTCTATATGAAGTTTGACAAATTTGACTTAAACACGTCGTAGACAACGCGTCATACTGGCTCAGTGATGCCAACTTGGGGGTTTTCCCACAAATTTAGGGGGAAAATATCTTGGGGGTTTATGAGATTTACATTTACATAATTTTAGGAGAAATTTTGTTTATTTTTTCTCAAAAAAACGCTCGATTCTATACAATTTTAACAAATTAAACCAAATATAAACTCCAAGTATATAAATGAAATGTCAAAAGGCAAGATTTTGGAAATTCGAAATTTAATACTTTTTTGCACTACTTGAATGTATTTTTAATTTAAATTTGAAATTACCTCTTAAGTGTAAACCCGGAACTTTAGAGGTTCTTTAATCGATATTTATGGGTATTTGAAGTTGGTTCTAGGGGGAACATTCTATAGGAGTTGGGATAACTGCTCCTGTCGAAGAATTAAGAGGAATAATAGTAATAATTGTTGCTTTTTTTAAATATTGTTTTATTGTTCCCTTTCTTACAGATATCGCATCGGACATAGCCACTAACCAAACTAACATAATTGAGTTATACACAGGTTATTTTTTAGTTTTTTTATATATGTTGCAAATCGGGGCTTTATTTGTTTTGTGTTGTTCTGTTTCTATAGCAGTGTTGGCCTAGTGGCTTCAGCGTGCGACTCTCATCACTGAGGTCGTAGGTTCGATCCCCGGCTGTGCACCAATGGACTTTCTTTCTATGTGCATAACACTCGAATGAAGAAGGAAAACATCGTGAGGAAACTGGCTTGCCTTAGACCCATAAAGTCGACGTCACCTACTTGCCTATTGGATTGACAAATTATCATGAAACATACAGAAGTCTGAGACCCAGACCTAAATAAGTAATTCTAGATAATTTTAACTAATTTTATTATAATTTTCCTGTTTGATAAAATCCTCAAATTAAGTGTTTCCGTTAGAATTAGAAGTAATCGATAGATAAATGTGAGTAAAGAATTGTATTCTTAATAAATATTATACTTTTTTGTCATGTGGTACATGAGACATGTTTAGCGCTGCGTCTCATCTCCGAATCTTACTATTTAGATGTATTTTTTATAGAACGTGGGTGAAACGGGCAAGAGAGTCATCTGATCTTAAGCGATAACGCCGTCCATGGGCACTCTCAATGCCAGAGGGTTCGCGAATGCGTTGCCGGCCTTTTAAGAATTGGTACGCTCTTTTCTTGTAGGACTCTAAGTCGAAACATCAGGTGAGCCTCCTGCCCGAATGCCCAGTGTTCTATAAAAAAAAATCTACGTAACGCCAAGGGATCGAGCCGCTTGGAAAGGGATTGGTTGTTAACGATTCGAATAGCTTGATAGTAAATATCGACAAATGTATATCTATGGTTGTAAGGGCTGTCACAACATACCTATATGTGGCGGTGGGCAGGCCACATAGTATGAACAAGAACGGATGGACTGCCTTCTTGAATGGAGATCTCGACTGAACAAAAGACTGCGCGGCCGCCCACAGACTAGGACTAACGACATCGTCAAGGAGGTCGGCTTCCAGTGGATACATAGAGGCCAGTGTAAAGCGTACTGGAGGAAAATGGAGGCCTACGTCTAGAAGTGGACCAATTACAGAGGCTGCTGATGTTACATCTATGGAAACTGTCAAAAAACTGTATTAGACATGGTTTTTATTTTGTCGCTAGGTCCGTTTTTTATCAGTTGTATTATCAATTGTCCAAATCGTATGGTTAATTCGTTAGAGATAAGATCTTATCGTATTTATGGATGGATTTGTACTTTATATGCTACGAATTTTTTTTTAATATAATTGGGACCAACGAGCCTACGGTACGGCCAAAAAGGGCAGTCATCGCTGCCCTTAGACACCCATTTTAGGTGGGTGCGTTGCCGGCCTTTGAGGGAGGAGCACACTCTAACTTTGAATAGTTGAAGGTCGTATCTTTCAGGGAAGACCCCCCACTGGGACTCGATTCCACAATTCGCTAGTTCGCAAAAGAAAATGCCTAGTGAAGTCTTCCAGCCATCATGATGTTGATGAAATTTTGAATTGATACGGCTCGTACTGTATTGAAACGAGGCTAGAGGGATCAAAACAAAGAATTCATCAGAACACTCACCGTAGTACACTTTATAGAAAACGCCATGAGACGTAATTTCTGTAAAATGACGAAATTGTTGAAAATTTTATATCGTGTACAAGCCACAAATTGCAGTATCAAATCATGCGCAGGCCTAAACATTTTGTGTTATATACTCTTTGTAGATAGAGAAGTATTAGCCTAATAGCTCTCTCGTCTCATCCCTGAGGTCGCAGGTTCGATCCCCGGCTGTGCGCCAATGGACTTTCTCTGTTCGCATTTATTCTTAATATTAATTATATTTTTATATGTTTGTTAAATACTAAAAGAATCTACTTAGTCTCACAATAAATTGTTGTTTAAAAATTCGACTTGACTCGAAAACATGACTTTGTTGCCCCGAGGGCTCTAGACCTCTAAAACTAGTATAAGTTGCTTAATTTTGCCACTTACTGATCGATCATCAAAACTCTAAGGCACTTTTCGCAGACATTCAAATTTAAACACAAATGAGTGTTTATTATAAATCAAGGAAAAACTAAAATATTTTGCAGTTAACTGTAAAAATAACAGTAACTAAAGAACTTTATATATATAACTTGTAAGATACGGTTCGGAAATACCTGGAATGGCAGCTGGATCCTTTTTTTTAATATCCGAGGTGGAAATGCATTTGCGCATCCCCTGCCCTCTAAAGTTGCAGGGGTATGTGGGACTCGACCCACGCCAAAATCTCTGCTATTCGGAGATTGGGTGATCAATCCCCACTAAAACCACCTCGAGTAGTTCGTACAAAGGCTCCGGGGTCGCTGTCGCATTCTACCGGGACCTCCGGTGCAGTATACACTACATAGGAGGTAGGAGATGGGCATATATTCTCTTATTCAGTGCCCGTCTTCTACCCCTAGGATTGGCAGCTGGATCCTGGAGTAATGGTGTACAGCAAGGTTTTTAATGTGACAGGAGGCAAACGGGCGGGAGGCTCACTTGATGTTGAGTGAAACCCATGTCACAAGTCGCCTTTTAGGAATCGGACTTTTCGATGGACCCTAATTCGAATAGGTTCGGAAATACTTCAGTGGGTCCACACAGTGGTGGTGCGCGGCACAAGGTGCCTTCAGGAACGCTCAGTTGTGGACGAAGTGTTGTAATAATCTGCTTTGACAGTTAATTAGAAAATGTTTGCTTTGATCGACTTTTTAATAACTAAGCGCTAAGTATGACTCCTATATGTCAACCATTTTGACGTGAGTCTTGAATCGAAACTTAAGCGGGCCATAGACGGACCGCATGTTGCAGTCAAAACCGACTGCAACATGCGGTTTGCTCAGGAACTCCTCGAGCGGTCCGTCTATGGCCCGCTTAACTCGTACAATCTTACACATCTGAATCATTTTAAATAACTACAGTGTAAAATCTTTATAACGAATTTCAATGGACCGAACAGTTTTGTTAGTTATATAGACTTTTCGTTATAGAGAGAGGAGAGAAAAAAACATATTTAGCCAATTACAATAATTTCTATTTTGTTTACTATTAATGGGTGAATTATTTTGTTTACTGGCTATCTTGACAGTTTCAAAGTTTGTTTACGACTGATAATACACGATAGGTGACGGTGTTGCGTTTAGTAACTGAGACCAAAATTTCCTACAGGCAATGTAATCTAAGAATAATGGCACACGTGTTAATGAAATTAACAATAACAAAGGCGAGAAGGCTGTTTACCTCAGGTCTTTCTTAGAAATTTCGGCACCTCATAAGTTAATTTTTGTAAGCTGATTATAAAAACAATTACACTTAAGTATGTTGTCGATGTCTAAATATGAAAATATTTCTTCGTTATAAAGAGTGAATTAATGTTTGGGTTTTGTGTTAAACCAATCAAGTGTAACTAATTTTTACGTTATAGAGAGTTTACACTGTATTAATAAATTAAATCCTAATTCCAGAAGAGCTGATGAACTACAATGACACATCGGAACAGGTCTTGGCGTTGGTCCCGCCGGAGCTTCACAAATATTTAACTGTGCACCATAAGAATATTAGTGGTAATAATTATTTCTTAGACATTAATAAAAATAATTAGCTGACCTGTTTCCTAATAAAAAAGGGCGTACAAAGTACACATGTCAGAAGTGAAACTTCTTTGTAAATTAATTATTACTAAGGTAAAAGCCCCAATATATGATCATGTACCAGTATATGATCACTCCATGTATTTGTATACCTAAATTTGTGAATATAGATATACAAATTGAAAATATACGACATTCTATTTTTGAGATTTCAATGAATTATTTTTCCTAAAAAATTTAAAAATAGAATTTCGTATATTGCTATATTCGCCCTTTCTCACTCTCCCTCAATCGGTCTCAATCGCTCTCTCCCTTTTCTTCGAAAAAAACGCTGCACATCGTGACTCTAATATTATTAATATATATAAAATATAGTTAAGTTTAGCCGTGCCTTGGAGAGGGATTTGCGGCCAGCTATTGCTCCATCATCACCAAATGGCAATGATCAGACGCTGATTATAAAACGAGTACACATTTGGTTCACGGCGTCGCGTATGACGATATCGTATCCGATACGACTACACGACGCAACGCAGTAGTGGGGCCTCGCCCTTATGGATGTTGGAACTGCCCTGTTTGATTGTCAAATTTACTAATAAACGTTTTTCAATTGGTTTTAATGACGCCTATATTAATTTTATCTTTTCAGTTAACGCCACAGACCGTACAGCACCAAAGAATACGTCAGACATACGAAGAGCCATAGAAATGATAAATGAAGCACAGACTATATACAATGAAGATATCTTTGGCCCAGTTCAGAATGACACCATTATTATTGCTATACAGGTAATTAAAATCTTAATAAAAATCCTTCGTAGACTCTGGATTCAAGTGGTCTACTTCCTTGGCAAACAATTTAAGAATGAATTTAATATCACAAACGTGTCCGTCGAATTCTCAATTAAAAGCTATTAATAAAAAAAAATTGATGTTTATAAAGTTTCGTGCAATAGACTTTCCGTCCATTTATAATTAACGTTTTTTAGAATCTAGTGGATTATCCAACAAAACAAATCTTTCGTTCAGAAAAAGAAAGTCACCATTTACGAGTCAAGACTCTATTTTTGCTCAGTTTTTTTTAGTTTTATAAGTGAAATTATGTCGTCAGTTACGCCCTGAGAGTGAAGCTAATCGCAGGTACTTAAAAAATTTAATAACATTAAATACACAATTCTTGTGTTTTGACTGGTATGGTGGAAATTAAATTCTGTAATCATTTAAAGCATCCTCCTAAGAGCATATACACTGGCGTTTACCGAGCGATTTGAAAACGACTGCGCAGCGCACACAAAAATGGATTCTGACGAGGAAACAATACTGCTGGCTTTGTTATATTCTCTTTTTGTTTGATCCTATATAACAGGATGATTTTGAATATCAAAGTTATTATCTTCCGACGACGCCATTATTTGATGATGCGTCCGCTCAATCTCGCGTCTTGGATGCGACTGACTGACTGAGGTGGGGCTAGGTTAGGTTAGGTAGGCGAGTGTACAAAATGGCATCGCAATCGCTCGTAAATCGCCAGTGTGATAAGGCCTTATCCCATAAACAGCTGTCTTGGAATGTTTTAGCTGTCCTAATTTTTATAGACTTCCGTGTAAAATATATAAAATACTACTTTTTGCACGATTTACAACCGTTTAACAAATCAATTAATAAAACAGGTATTTTATTGTGAACACTGACAAATATGGCAACATTGAACAAACATTATACTTTTTTTTTAATTTATCCAAAAAACTTCGGTTTTGACATTTTCCGTCTTGCCAATATCAAATCTTTCCCGTTTAAACCCGTAAGATTTATCTTAGCCGGATATAGTCTTGTCTCTTTGGGTATCGTTAATTTCTTTTCTTTCTTTTTCTTCTTCTCTTTTTTCTCCTTTTTCTTTGGTAGCTCACGTCTTTCCATCCATATAAATTGCTCATCCTCTGGTATTGTTGTGTCGAAACGGAATTTTCTTGGAACCTAAAAAATACAAATTGGTAATTATTATTCTAAGTCTCCCATCATAAGTTCGATCTACAACTATAGAGAAGTCATAAAAAGCGTATCGAGTAAATATCTATAAAAACAAATGCGGCAACCTATTATACCATATAGTAATAATAGCAATGGTGTTTTGCAGGGTACAAGCCTTAGTTCAGCTTTGTTTATTATGTATGTTAATGTTACCAACCACATACTCCAAGCAATATTCCACTTGAGGCTTGTATATTGGTATGTGTACTTTTGGTCGGTCCATTTTGATTCTTGCTATCAATACTTTTGGGAAGTCAGGTTTCTGATACCTAAGATAAAATACAACAATTTAATACGCTCTATAAAGAAGTAATCTTTAGCTACAAATTTGAATGTATACATAAAATTATTTTATCACATTGTAGAATACTTTTCATGTTTATGAAAAAGATACTATCCTTGCAAAACTCTGTTGGGGTGACAATTCAAAGTCTTAAACACACAATTTTTTTTTTATTAGACACTTAATTTCAATGCTCGCGAGCGCGCTGTCGGCTCTTAAAATTGACCATTAAATGTTTATACCTCGTGTTGTGAAAATTTTTCTAGAGGTTTATAGTAATTTTGTAACAAAAAATTCATGTAATTTGAACTTTTGAGCAGTGTTGGCCTAGTGGCTTCAGCGTGCGACTCTCACCCCTGAGGTCATAGGTTCGATCCCCGGCTGTGCACCAATGACTTTCTTACTATATGCGCATTTCACATTCGCTTGAATGGTGAAGGAAAATATCGTGAGGAAACCGACATGTCTTAGACCCAAAAATTCGACGGCGTGTGTCAGGCACTGTAGGCGGATCACCTACTTGCCTATTAGATTAAAAAAATTATCATTGCCTAAAAGATTAAGAAATCTGAGGCTCAGACCTATAGAGGTTGTATTGCCACTGATTAATTAATTTGCACTTTAAGCTACTGAATTATTGAGAAATTTACTTTGTTATCATATGTTCCTTGGATTAACTGTTCTGTTCTGTTAAGAAGTTCTTTGTTTATATACCCTTCTACCTATTAAGTTGTACACGACATACCATACTAAATCCCAGTGATCCATATAAACGGGTTCAGGCATAATGATTTTCATCCAACGCAGCATGTCACATCTGTAAGATTTAAATCACATTAAATTGTATTAACAATTAAATGATAAATGATTTATTTCTGTAAGTAGGTTTGTACAAACACTTTTAAACGTCAAGCACATTTTTTTTAAAACTAGATGAGTCCGACGTTTCCTATCTGACTACTCTGAGAAGAAACGCCGAAACAACACAGTCTCTTTTAAAGTCCAGACATAACAAGATTATGTGAAGACCATGTAGTTTGCAGTCTGAAATGGTCTTGTGAGGAAAGAACCACACAGATTGAGTGGACCTGTCCAGTCAGTGCACGCATTTGTCTGTAATCGTGCAATTACATCTCTTACTTCTTTGAAACTTTTAATAATATATTTAAATCTTCACGCCTTTTTGGAGTTGACAGAGACCACAGATCTCCACTTGTGAGGTCTGGTCCTTTCTCGCTTTATCCACTTCCATACCTGGTCGGATATTGGTACTTTTAACTTGTCCCTTCTCTAGTACGTCCTGGTGGACCAGGTATGTCCGAGAAGGCTTACCAACCTTACTTCACCATCCACGTCTGCCTTGTATACCTTTTATTCATTATTGATAAATTCGCTATTTGCAGGACTGAAGCGATTCTGGCAATTTTATTTCACGAATTTTTTTGCAGTATCGGTCATATTTTATACGAAACAAACTGACTCATATTCTTCAATAATAAATAACGCTACGTGTTATTAACTTCCTGCATAAGCGTACAATGGGGCAGCAAAATTGGATATTTTTTTGGGGAGCGTTCAAGTCACGCCATTATTGGAGATTATTGGACCCCCCCCCCATGTAACGCGCCGTAACCTTTTTCTGTAACTAATAGTAAAACGTTTCGTGACCACTCAATCACTCTTTATACCTAAAAGTTACCATTATGTGGTGTAAAGTACTGCAAAGTCGAAAATAACAATAACGCGTAAATCAATCCCCGCCCCGCATCGTAACGTTTTACAAAAGGACCCCTCGTTACGTAATACTTGAAATATAACTTATTTAGTCACTTAGAATACACTAGGAAATCAACGATCCCTTAGTTCGCAATCATACTAATAACGGAAAAATCGGGGCGGTAAATGTGTAAGCGACGCTGCATAGGTTACCCAAAGTATTTATTTACCTTGACCAGTTGACCCTGATTCCCCAACTGGGCCCAGTCCTTGACTTAAACCAGGTGCAGTGTGTCAGTGGCTTTCGTAGTGGAAGTCCGATGCTTCGTATGAATCTTATAAAATCCGCACTAAATAGTTTTCGTATTGCCTTTGTGATTATCTGAAATTATAGAAAACTTTCCAGGGGGTTACAATATAAATCTCATATAAAAAACTTCTTAAATCTCTTCTCGTAAAGTTAGAAAGAAGAAAATAACAGCTTAATTACGAGTAACAAGGAAGTTTATCTAAACAAGTTCCTTGGGTTGAGAGTTGATTGTACAATCGAAGGTTTTTTCACATCCCACAACGTCAAATGTTGCCAGAAACATTCCAATTAATACGTTATGTCGCTACCATAATGACATTGGATTGTTTTGACATATAACATGGTTCTAGGGGCCACATAGCCTAGCGGTCTTATTAAGATGCAGCTAGGTGAGGGGTACCGGGTTCGATTCCCGGTTCGAGGGCAAGTTTTAATTTAATTTAAATTTGTTCTCGGCCTTTGGGAGGGTTGTGCGGTACCGGGCGAGTGCCTAAACCGTACATGGAGGGCACGGTCGAATTTCTAAGGCAAAAATCACGAATTATAAAAATCTTATACTTGACGCTGGCTAATGCACAAACCGTGCCAGAGCCATAAAAAAAAACATGGTTCTCTGGACTCTGCTTATAGTCCGCTAATGCATTTTAGCTAGTGTTTTTAACGCCGATCGAAAAGGCGTGGTCTTGAAAGGTTGTGAAATAGTATGAGTATACATTACTATGATTATATATACTTGAAGGAAAACATCGTTAACAATCACACCTATTTAAAAAATCTCAGAAGACACACTTATATAAATACCTTTAATTAAAATCTTGTCATAATACCTGAATGTGATCAAATCGTCTGATATTAATCTCTGGCAATCTAGAGGGATCTTCAAACATTAATAAACGCTTGCCATCAATTTGATTTTTCATAAAACATTCCTGCAAAAGAACAGTATTTCAAATGCCGCGTTGGCCCCCTTAAACCCCCCTCCACTCTCAGCCATCGTGAGGAAACAGTTCGTTAGTTAATTAAGCCAGCCTAGCTCCTTCAGCTCAGAAATTACCTGGTCACTTCGCAGTCTACACGGAGCGACCTCACTGCTCCGAGCTCCGAACTGCTATATGAAGCAGTCCAATACTCGGACCCAAATCATCACGACATGTGTCAAGCATAGAAACTTACCTACGTTTAGAAAGAAAGAAGATAACCATAGGATAATTGATTTTTGAATCAACTGAATACCTTATACTCTGGATACCCCATAAACTCGATCCATTCCCCCACCACATCCACCGACCACCCAAAAGCTGATGGTAGTGGTATTTTATCCACCACAGCCGCAGTTAGTTCGTACAACCTCGGTGGGGATTTTAAACATGGCAGAAGTCTCCTAAAAACAAAATATTTTAAGAGAACTTTATTTGAATGAAAAACACATGAATAGACAATTTAATTAATTAATAATGTATTTATTAATAATGTTCCTCATGAAAAGAATAGATAGTACAAGACAAATTCATCAGGCACCTGAATGAACTTTTAATAATGTAATTATTAATAATGCTCCTCATGAAAAGAAGGTATAAGTTGATGCTGGATAGTACAAGACAAATTCATCAGGCACCTGAATGAACTTTAACGTTTGCAGTGGCACATAATATAGCTCTGTCTCGTTCTCGCTCGATGCGACAACTGTGTGAAGACTGCGGCTATTCGTATTTTACACGAATGAAAATCTACCGTATAAACACCCGGCTGAAAGTACGGTGATAAAATGAATACAAAGTAAACGTACAGAACAATGCCGTGTGAACCCTACTCTAGGATGTGACATCGACCGCCGTTACTATTCGTACCATCATCGAAAACTAACCTCTCGATAAGGGCACACATGAATTGTCCGGTGACTGACAAAAGGTCTGATTCATGTCAGTTCTTAAACTGTAAGAACACTATATGTAACCAGCTGTCTCCAGTTCAAGCAATTGTATGACTCAATACTTGGCGATTAAAAAGAGTGGCGGAAAGTTTCTTGCCAGTTCTTCTTACCCGCTCCACGCCCTTGACTTGCGAACTGGTAGTAAATTTAGAATCAATTTAACATCTTTTGACATTCATAAGTGTACTTGTTTACCTATATGAATAAAGATATTTTGAGTTTGTAGTATTTCCGAACCCATTCGACTTAGGGTCCTTCAAAGAGCGTACCATTCTAAAAAAGTCCGGCAATGACTAAAAGCCCTCTGGTTTTGTGAGTGTCCATATCTGTTGTCCATCACTTACCATCAGATAAGTTCCTGCCCCCTGTTATTACAAATAACTACGATTAAACTTACTTTTTCTTAGCATATGGTTCTTGTTTAGGAAAACACCCACATTCGGTGCATGTTGTCTTATCGGGCGTGACATAAATCGGTACCCGTGGGGGGATCACCACCGACGGCACCCGTCTGGGGATTTTAATCTTTTTTGGCTTTTTGTGGTGTGTCTGTAATAAAGATTATTACAAGTAGGATTATTAGCTGTCTAGATATTTATTTTATGAATAAATTAGACATGGTACTGATTTTTTGCAGATATTGATGTCTTCTATAAAACTCTTTGCTCTATTGTCAATGGTTTCCACAGCGTACGAGATTTAGCGATTTTTATTGGAATATTTTCCACTTGTTGTTGAGCAATGTTGGCCTAGTGACTTCAGCGGACGACTCTCATCCCTGAGGTCGTAGGTTCGATCCCCGGCTATGCACCAATGGAAAGTCCATGTGTGCTATATGCATTTTAACATTTGTTTGATTTTTGAAAGCTTTTATAAATTTGAGGACTACTTAAATGATCCTAATCCCTGGGATTGAATTGCTCCAGTTCAAACAATTTGTATGACAATACTTGGCGATTAAAAAGAGTGGCGGAAAGTTTCTTGCCAGTTCTTCTTACCCCGCTCTCCCCCCTCCCTCTTGCGAACTGGTGGTAAATGTTAAATTTACGATTAATTTAACTTGACGATTCAAAAGTGTACTTGGTTACCTACTTGAATAAAGATATTTTGAGTTTGAGTTTGAGTTTTAAATGTGTAAAGTTTATCTCAATAAAAGACAATATAGGTGAAGGAAAGCATCGTGAGGAAACCTTTCTTGCCTTAGACCCAAAAAAGTCGACATGTGTCAGGCACAGGAGGCTGATCACCTACTTGCTTATTAGATTGACAAATAATCATGAAACAGATACAGAAATCTGAGGCCCTGCCCTAAACAAAGGTTGCAGTGCAAATCAATGATTTATGTTTTTCATTTTATTTTCCTACATTATTGAAGTTATTATACGGTTCTCTAATTTTTTTGGATATATTCTACAACATATTATATTCATTGGGTATACTGTGAGATTCTAAAAGTGAAAGAATTCTTCAAATCCGTCCAGTAGTTTTGGAGGATCTGAAAACAATCAAATCTTCCCTCTATATGAGCAGATGTTTACGCTACTAATCAGCATTGTTATTTATCCGCAATCTTTTGATACTTGATTAAAATTATAATCAAATATATTTGTTTGAATATGTACATTACTCTTAATCTATATATTAATAATAACTAAAAATGGATAAATGGAAAATTAAAATAAATTTAAAAAAGTTTGGTCCCTGGCAGTGTACCTTTAATGCTGGCATTACCTCGCTGTATTGCGTATCGTTGAGCGAGGAAAGCACCAGCTCTGGGGTCACCGGTACCAAAACTTCAATCTTTAATTCGCGCCTACATTTAAACTTAAACTCTTATACTCTTATATTTAAAACTACTTACAGTTTCCTCAGCCATTTCGCAAAATTAAAGTTATCTAATCTAGCTAAAAAATAATAAACTGTCAAAATATGACTATTACACCTAGACGTCAATTGCTATATTTCTTAAAAAGAAAAAGATTTTAATAACAATTTTATGTGATACATAGATGGCGATGTACGCTGTATCAGATATAATGTATGAAGATAGAATAAAAAAAAATTAATATAATAGCGTGAAATACTCGGTAGTGGACTGATCAATTTTAAAAAAACATTTTTGGTTGGTACCTAATCCGCATTGTTCATATATCATTATATATTTATTTATTTTATAAAACGAGTCTACATCATACATTTATAGCATATGAGATATATACGTATATATATATAGAAAAGATAGGTTGTAAAAGCTATCTTTTCCAATATACATTACGATTATAGTAAGCCAGCGTTCCACTTTAAAATACAAATAAAATTAGAATTCCAATTTTAGATTTTGAGCTAAAAATACTAGCAAAACAGCAGATAACTTTTCAGATAGGCACTTAACAATGTTTTTATTCAAATTGATCACCCCACTACTGAATATATATACAGTTCCGGATAAGTACTGTTTATTCTGTTATATTCGAAAAGAATTTGAATGAGAGGTGTCTCAATGACTAGGATGATTTTTGCAGACGGAATTTGGAAGATTCTGCTAAATTTGAACTGGCTCGAAGGACCAAAATGTACGGTTCCTGGGTCATCGGGGTGCTTTAAATAATGGAGGATTTTAGTTTTACACTATATTACACGATACAATATAAGTGAAATATTGACAGACGGACAGACAGACATAACATTTAATACTCACAAAGCACACACATACAGAAACACACAAAATAACAATAATGAAAAAAATTAAGAGAGATAATATTTTAAAGAACAAGGTACGTTTTAGTGTGTAATGCGTGGTTGTAATTGGCCCTGGCTCAGTATGAGCAGACTGTTCCACAGCGCTGGTCATTCTGCCAGAGACCACAGCAGCTAGTTTGCGCCTCAGTCGCAGAAAAATAAAAAGAATGTAATCTCTCAATCTAATACTTAGTAGAAAAAAAATTTAGTAAAAGTTAGCAGTTTATGTAATGAAGTCTTGTGTAAAAGTATATAGGAAATAAAATACAATTAAAAATAAGAATAACTGTTAAGAAATAGATAATTTTTTTTGGGCGGATTAAAAACTAGATTTCGAATTTATTGAAATGTTTATATGTAACAGTTGAAGAGTGCCTACGTCTGACTATACTCTCGGGGCGTTACTCCGACAATTAAGGAAATCGCCACGCTTATAAAACTAAGAAAGCCTGTGTGATCAAATTGTACAGCCTTGGCTCGTACTGGAATAAATAAGGGACAATATTAATATTCTGTAAGAGGTTTCTGTTCTGTATTTGACCATTTAATAATTTTTATACGAAACACCGGCTAGAGATCTCCGATCGTTGAGGGATTCAGGGAAATTAATAAAATTAATATTTTTCAGGTGCATACACGTCTGACTTACCTACGGCATTTGATAGTGTCGCTTGCGCAGGCAAAAGACATAGACAGAACATTACTGGTGTTTTCACATGACTATTATGATGAAGAAATCAATAGTTTAGTTAGGAGCATAGATTTTACCAAGGTGAGTGTACTAACAAAGAATCATAAAGAATGGTTTTCAATCACCACAATCTCCCATTATATATTGTATAAGCATTATATATTGTAAAAGCTATACCTTGTATGGTTCTTGAATTAATATGTACACTTAAAGTACACTGTAAGTTAATAATGCTTCTAAATAAAAATAAATAAAATAAAATATGTTTATTATGGTACATAAGATACATGTATCACTTATTGCATGTCATTAAATTTGAATTTGTAGGCATCCCTCTACTCATCGGCAAAGAAGACAGAGGGTGTAGGCCGAGAGAAAAAGCCGGCGTAAAAAACTCTCGGTACTCCTTAAAAAAAAAAAACTTTATACATACTCCGTCACTAACACCCTAAGAAGAAACATGATTAAAAAACTTTAGTAAAAAACTAATTAAAATTCAATTATTTTGCAATTGTATTTAATTCTATTTATTATATTATTTTTTTTAAACATTTTTTGTAGATATTTATATGTTTTTTAGTAAAGTGGAACATTTTTTTGTTCTATCACCAATAGTTTTCGTAGCGCACGCGATGAAAGATATTTAATAGGCATTTTTGTTATACTTCTTTAGGCGCGTTATGAAAAATTGATGAGAGTGAAATATTACGATGCGCGCGCACCGTGACACAAAATTAACAGAATGAATGTTGCATGTTACGGCATTGACATAATTTAAAAACAACATTCGAATAATAATAGAATTTATGTTACACTTAATGTAAGAGAATAATAATAAATATTTATTTATTTAATTTTTCAAATGTAAACTGAACTTCATTGACTATAATGACTCCTTTTCCAGTCTTTGATTATTTAATTGTAATTAATTATTTGCATGCAATCAAAAACTATTTTTTATAATGCCAAAGAAGTATAACTTCTTACGCGCGTACATAAGTACACGGACCCTTTTTTTTACACCTTGGGTAACATTATTTTTTCTTGCAATTATAACTATATTAATCAGTGATAATGTAGCATTCAAATGGTGAAAGAATTTTTTAAATCGGTCCACTTTTGAGCCAGTTACAAACATACTTACATACAACTCTTTCCTCTTTATAATATTAGTATAGATTAATGTATGGAAACAATTAATTTCAGGTAATGCAAGTATTTTACCCGTATTCAATACAAACGCATCCAAATGAGTTTCCCGGGATGGACCCAAACGATTGTCCCAGGGACGCCAAATTAGAACAGTGAGTGTTATTAACCCTACCGAAATAAATTCACATCTCCATTAAATACAGCGGGAATAACGTTACTTCGGCTCCATACGATTGGCTACCTATCATCTTGTAAAACTCTTCTGCATAAAAATTTCTTAACCATATCCTATCCTGCTCAATCGTTACTTCTCTTTTGTATTGGTTAAGCACTTCTTGCACTTTACTCAATATATTTCTTTTTTTTAGTTTTTCCCATACTAGGGTTGCCTGGAAGAGATCACTTGTTAGCCATAAGGCCGCCCGTTGCATCCCTAATAGTTTTTAAGTATTTCTATTTGTGTTTTTTTTTAATGCAACGTGTAAATAAATAAGAAATAACCTACCGAGACCGTCATAAAAGGGGTGTCAAAAAGCAGTCGTAATAGTGTTTTTTTAATGCAGTTGCTCAAAAAGTGGCGTTCGGGACGTGGGTTATTACATACTCGTGCGTTCTCGTGCCCAACTGTCAAAATAATATCTTTTAAAAAAGTAAAAACCAACCACGAAGTTGTTACTAAAAGAAATTTTTATGATTCATGCAAATATTTCTAAAAAGAAGCTACTAATTTGTTTCAATATCAGATGTAATGATTTGATTCAATGAGTTAGGTTAGGTTTCATTTCATTTCATCTCATTAAGTTTTATTTTTATTTCATATCAATAAAAAAATTCTACTGAAGACTTGGCTGTATGGGTTCCCTTTGCCTACCCAGAATGGGTGAAGGAATCAAAAAAAATCTGCTTTCCACGCCACTTTCCAAAAATGTTCTTTTATAAGAAATAAATGATTCGTTAGTTGAGTTTATTGTCTTTATTATTTAATTAAATTACTTAATTTTTTCGCAACTGTATTAAAAATAGTTGTTCAGTACACGTGCGGGACCGTCATTGCAAAGAGTTCAGGCTCTCCGCACTCGTAATGAAATATACAATTACGATACTGTTCCTCGGGGCAAGTGACATTTTTACGATATACTGTGTCGGGTCTGTGCAGTCAAAAGTCTTCATTTAATCAAAACTTTGGTCTCGTAATCTACAAATTTGAGACTGTTGTAACCCAATAATGTTTTCAGAGCTTTAAAACTAAAATGCAATAATGCCTTGCACCCTGACCTGCATGGTCACTATCGTGAGGCGAAGTACACGCAAACAAAACATCATTGGTGGTGGAAAGCCAACAGAATCTTCAACCAGCTGCAGTCCACTGCTGGACATACTGGTAAGCCAATCTCTTTCATTGGGCTATCCTTGTTTTATAGGATTTTAAAAGACACTTTTTGCTTTATTGGTCTTAGAATGGACTGTAGAGTCTAATAATGTGGTTAAATTATCGCTAATATGTATCGAGGGTAGACACAATAATGTCAACTGTAGAAAAACTTATCGGATACCACTGTTGAAATTTTACAATTTAAAAAGGATAACAAAAAAAAAGATAAATTTAAAAATTAATGTTTGTAATAAAATTATAAATATCAGCGAATCACAATAATTATTTCCAACACACAAATATATAGTATTTACAATTTTGTTATCTACATACGTAGTAATAAAAATTAATAAATAGAAAATTCAAACAAATTTAAAAAGTTTGGTCCCTGTGGCACGGTTCTTTAACGCTGGCAGCATTTCCTCGCTGTACTGCGATATTTATTCGTTGAGCGAGGAAAGCACCAGCTCTGGGGTCACCGGTACTATCTACCAGGCGCCAACTTAAATCTTTAATTAGCGCCTGTGCACTTGAACCCCACGGCCCAAGATTCTACTCCAAAGGGAACAAAATCGAAGTTCAACGAACTCCTATATTTAATCATATTTAACAAAAGTCTTTTTCCAGGCATGGTAGTCTTTCTAGAAGAAGACCATTATGTAGCCGAAGATTTTATCCACATGCTCCATTTACTGCGTGCAACAGCTGATAAAACTTGCCCGCAGTGTGAAATACTCTGCCTCGGCACGTATTTGAAGACATACCAGTATCATAGTAACACAGATAAGGTATGTTTTTGACAATTGGCGTTTGACAGTTGACAGTTTGTTACACGTTTTTGACACTACACAACACCTTTATGTTTTTTTTAATGACTTAATAGGAAGTCGAAAATGATTAAAATATGTTTTCTTGAGTTTTGAAGTTATACTTCTTTTAAGTTAGGGAAAAATGATGAGAGTAAATTTTTACGATGCGCGCGCACACGGTCACAAAAAATCGACACCTTGACGTTAGCTAAAGTCAACGTTTGTGTTTTTCTATTGTTAGTGTCGTTTTTTCTACAAACGTAGAATAAATTTTTTGAATAGATTTTTATCTTGTTACGCCAAAGAAGTATAACTTCTAACGCGTGTACATAAATACACACACGTTTTTTTTTAAATATTTTATTTGACATTACACGCTTTTATGTTCGCTTTTGTAGTTGTTTTGTGATATACACCGCGTTACACCAACAACGAAGCATTTTAATTCTAAGCATTTCAACTCTACAATATCTAAAATACACAGCATTAATTTAATTTGCATTATTATTATATTTTTAATTGTAATAATTGGATTTATTACTGTCGTATCAAAATTTACAAATATTGTTGTGCCTGAAGATTGGAACATTAATCTTGCCACAGAGAAAGAAGAATTTTAACCTTAATTACATTCAACAAGTGAGAGCGATAAACGAAGAGAGAAGAAAGAGACTTCAGGAGACACAATGGAACTACCAAGTTTACCCAAATCTGTATTCTACTACGCAAAAGGTAGCTGGGTCCACAGACTAACACGAAGGCCATTTTGACATTTCGTTGATACTCAATTGTTTAAAAGCTTTAAAAGTCGCAAAAGGGCCTTCAGATATCGCTAATAATTTCAAAAGCTTGACAAATTATCAAAATATTTGGTTATGATTTGAATATAGCGGTTTTAATCAAAGTTAAGTTTTTAAAATTAGGGAACGTTAAAGTATTACGTAACGAATTTTAGGGGGGGGTTACTTTTGTTAAACGTTACGATGCGGGCGGGGATTTAATTACGCGTTATTGTTCATATTATTTTCGACTTTCCAGTACTTTACACCACATAATGGTAATTTTTAGGTATACAGAGTCACTAGGTGGTCACGAAACGTTTTACTATACTTGGTTACAGTACTGTCCTTGTGTACAGAAAAACGTTACGGTGCGTTACACGGGGGGGTCAATAATCTTCAAAAATTGCGTGACGTAATACTTGAACGCTCCCTTACCACAGCTGCAAGCATGCTAACGAATACGTTTTGCATTGAAATATATAATCTGTAAAATGGATAATTTGGATTGATGGCAAATTGAAAATATCGTTAAGAAATTTTTAATGTAACAGCTTCCTACTAAAACGGCTTTTTGAGAGGAGCTGAGTCTGTGCGGTAAGAGAACCAAGAATTAAGATAAACTTAAGTATAATCTTGTTATTGTTGGCAACACTTTAATTATAATTTGACCGTCATTAATTATTGAAATTTTTGTGAATAAATTACATCAGTTCATACAACCACGCTGGTTCTTTTTCTGTCCAGACTCTTGTTCCACAAAGGTGTAGTGGACGACCTTTTCTTATAACTAACGTAGACTCCTACCATAGTAAGTGATCATAGAATGTAATTGAGGGTAGACATATGTAAATTGAACTACCCACTTAGCAATAACAATTACAGATTATCAAAAATAACCTAACGTAATGACACTGTTGTGAATGAAACTACAAATTACTTGTCTAACCCTCGCGAGAGGGGTGTTTGGGTCTGAAAGGGGCGTATGCCCCCATCTTGTGGTGTAAAGTTTCGCGGTGGGCGGTCTATTTACTAAATTGATACCAAGGAAATGAGGGTAGGCTGTAAATTGATCTACCCACACAGTTAAACAATTACAGATGAACGAATATAACCTAACGTACAGACACTTGTAAAACTACTATTATCAAACAGAGGGACACTTATTAGAATGAACAATACTAAAGACCTTGATAGTCAAGTACAAAGTACGCGGATCTTGTTGCACCCTCGCCACGGGGGTGCTTAAGCCTGTTTCGGGCCCCCTTCGGTTAGTGTGAAGGTTTGCACCCTGCTAATACAGGGTGGTACGGTTGCGGTCAATTCACCAAATTGATCTACCCACACAGTTTAACAATTACACATGAACTAATCTAATCTACTACATTTTTAACAAAGTGATGGTCACTTTATTCAATGAACTATACTAAAAACTGAAAAAACCTATCAAATTCTAAACACGCACAGCGCCTTCTGTTGATTGGTAAATAAATTATGAATAAACAACAGATATTAGTGTTAATTCCAGAATTGTTCAATTGATTGACACTAAGTTGATTGTGTTTAGCCGAATATTAAAGATTTTTTATTTTAAAATTAGCTTCAGTTGAATTTCTGCATCTGTAAGCGAAAGAGTTGCCATAATTCAATGAAATTTTTGTTTAGAATTGATCTTTAAATTACACTTAGAATGATTGTTTCAATATTACTTTGTTCTTTGTATTTTTAGTAATAAGATAATGTAAAGTTATAATTAGCATGCAAGCATCCGTTTGATTTTTTTACAAATTATAGTAAGTATCATTATATTGATTATGCTATGTATATACAGTCAAAATCTGTAATAACGACATCGTAGGGACTACTCATATTTGGTCGTAAAAACCGATAGTCGAAATAGCCATTAGCACGTTTGCTTGTTACGCTTAGTTTTAATGCTGTTTTAAGCTGTATTGCGCTGTATAATGCTTTAGCTTGAGTTTTGCACCAATTTGTATAAATTGTAAATAGAATATTTTTTGTATAGTTTTAGCGTTAATTAGTTTATTCTTTATTTTATTCATTTAATAAAGAAAAGCGTAGAGAAAAGTAATATTCATTAACTGGTCTTCACGTTAAGTATGACTCGCTTATGTCAAAATTATATTGACATAAGCGATAAATAGCACTAGTTAAGACAATATACTTGAAAATAATGTTGAATTTCTTTTTTGTGAAATATCAATTTAATTACGCAATAAAAGCAAATCACGGTCGTGCAGAAATTAAAAATATGACATATATTTACCGCAAGCCACAGCGTAAAATAGTTGTACGAAAAATTTAATATTCTTATCATCACCGTCAGGGGCGCTGTAACATTTTTCATATAATTATTGAACGTAGACCTTAGTAACACTTAATATATAAAAAAAGCATGATAGTACTGATTTGTCGACACAATTTAACATCGTTTTCAAGTTCATCAACTAGTTCTTCCTAGACCGCCATTTCTAGAGTTTGACGTTTTTCCCGCCAATTTGCTTGATTGACGTTTCATTGTTTTTCAGGTCGAAATAACTCCCTGGCACTCAAGTATGCATAATATGGGAATGGTTTTCAACAAAACTGTGTGGAATAATATAATGGAGTTAGAACAACAGTTTTGCGCGTATGACGATTACAATTGGGACTATTCTCTGCTTCATTTATCACAGAACCGGCCTGGCCGGGAGAAATTCAAAGTTATTTTGTGTAAGGGACCGAGAGTGTTTCATATCGGGGAATGGTGAGTGAACTTATTATCTATGGATTGTTAGTATCTGTATTTTAGTATTGTCTTTGATTAACATAACTTTTATTGATTTAATAAAACACTATTTTGACCGGATTGAAGTTATGTATTATTATAAATTTACAACTATTTAAAATTATGTTAAATAGTTGTAAATCTGTATTTTGTTCAGTTTCCACAAGTTTTTAATAAGACTAATAACATTTGAGGTTAGTACACTATTTCAGCTTAAAATATATGTTAGTCAAATTTATTATGGATATAGCGTTGTGTTCAAACATCGACCCAGTTTTTGGACGTCATGAAGTTGAATTGACCTTGGATCAATTTTAATAATAAAAAATATGGATTCTTTTATAATAATACGTTTATAATAATATATATTTCAGATACTTTTACGCTTGAACACGTTAATATTTCTATCTCATTCTTTTTAGATATCTGTGTGCCCCTTTATGGTTAATCTTCCTCCAAATCCCGCCATTCCTGTCTGCACTGTACCACTGGCTGTTTCCTTCAATCTGGTATATCCACGTTCTAAATTGTCTTCCTCTTTTGCGTTCATTGTACCATTGTACGTACATCGTACTCCACTGTTCTGTTTCTCTTCTCCCTCCATTTCCACTTATGTTTTTTTTTTTATTTTGTAACATCTGCGTAGTTGATCTCCTTAATTATGTATTCTTATATATTAATATATAACGATAGGGACAATTACAGTGGTTTCAGGTATTTTCTATATTGTGTCAAAAATGGTGATGTCAATGTCATGTCAAACATTAATTTCCAGTGGGATACACCATAAGAAATCGAACTGCAATGCTTCCACAGTTATAAGCAAAGTACAGAAATTATTACAAAACGCAAAGAAATATATGTTCCCGTCGAGAATTATCGCTACAATTACGGCTGGGGGCGCCAAACATAACAAGAAACTTACCAAGGGGAATGGGGGGTGGGGAGATATACGGTAAGTCAAATTTCGGCCAAAAATTCAATAAATTGCTGTATGTTAGAAATAAAAAATAAATCAGTGGCGCTACAACCTTTTTTAGGCCTCAAATTTCTGTATCTGTTTCATGATCATTTGTCAAACTAATAGGCACGTACGTGATCAGCCTCCTGTGCCTGGCAAACGCCGTCGACTTTTTGGGTCTAAGACATGTCGGTTTCCTCACGATGTTTTCAAATGAGCGAATGTTAAATGCGCACATAGAAAGAAAGTCCATTGGTGCACAGCCGGGGATCGAACCTACGACCTCAAGGATGAGAGTCGCACGCTGAAGCCAACACTGCACTGGTTAGGTCCAAATTAAGATAACTTCTAAGCTTTGTCAGTTTCTGATATTTTCCAATTTGTTAATTTAAAGAACGACGCAATACCACCAACGTTGACAATTGACATTTATCCAAATTTGTTCTATTTCTACCACACGATAACTTGACATTTGGCAGACTTGTCATGTCTAAATATAATACAAGTTGGCGTGACCATCTCAAAAGCACGAAACAATACATTTAATAATTGTAGTAATTAATTACTTTATCTAAAATTCGCTGCAATTGTTGAATATTCCTAACGTACATAAAAATAATAAATTAAAAGTTAATAAATAGAAATCGATAACAAATTTTAAAAGTTTGGCCCCTGTGTACCTTTAATGACGTGGAATAAGTGATATATGTTCCATAATAAACATATTTTATTTTAATTTTTTTAATGCTGGTATTTCCTCGCTGTATTGCGATACTTATTCGTTGAGGAAAGCGCCAACTGATGTTACCCTTACCTAATCTATCTGTTTATCTAAATATATTTTTATATTTCAGTGACCAGGAACTATGCACAAATATGACAAAAATTGGGCGACAATTCAGAAAATACATCTACTACGCATAAAACACCGGCCATTTTCTTTAACAACGCATATTTATAATTGGTACAGGTATTTTATTTCTAATGTTTATATGATTTGATTTATAAATAGTATTTAAACTGTAACAATAATTTTGCCTTTATTTTTCTGAGGTTTTAGCTATAAATTTTAATGAACAAAGCGTGAATTATATTATAACTATATAAACTTCTTCGTCTACCTTCAAATTCCGTCAACTTAATATATGTATACAGTAACTTTTAACTTACCATATCCAAAATCTCTTTATTTAAAGTCTCCCGAAAATCAGCAATAAATAAGTTTCTAACCACACACACACACACACACACACACACACACACACACACTATTGCCTTGGTCTTGGTTTTTCTACCATCATCTAGTTATTTAACTTGATGGGGTAGAGTGGTAAGCAATTGTAGCTCCTGATAAGCTTATTAAAGTTTATGCTTTTCGAGAGTTAGATACGCGATGAAAGAACCATTGCACAGACCACTAAACTCGTTAAAAAGGCCAAGAGTGCTCGCAAACTTTGTCTAAAAATACTCTTAATCAATAATATTTTTCTATGAATTAAGGAATTGCAGTATGTATTCGTCCTAATAGTTAGTCGTAAACATAATAGAAATGATATTTTAACAAATCTTAGTAACTGGTTGATGATTTCTGAAAGCTTTTCTATTTTATTAGATATCAAAAATACGGTTTAAATAAAACGTAGCCAACTATTTTAATTATTTATCCCTGGAAGAGTAAAAAACTAAAATGAAAGAAGAAGAAAATTAATAGAAGGCCAATAAGCAGTCGATCCATTATTATATAGCATTTAAATAAAAAAATACCGTTATTCGAGTACTATATAATCAGGATCACATTAAGTCCATCTCATTTTAGCATTAGTATGGACCTCCGACGGAGTGAAGGATCCAAATTCTTCCATTTGCCTCAAATCCTCGCTATATTTTTTTCAATCCCTCCCCCTGTCTTTTATTTCATCTTCCCTGGTTTCTGGTGGCCGTACTCTGTTTCTTCTTCCCACTAGGCCATTCCAAGTAAGAGTCTTCTTGACCCATCTGTCATCACAAACGCAGGCATTGTGACCAGTCGATAGACCTTTCGCATACTCCAATCTTCTTTATTAACGTATTTATCTTTTAACAGAACTTTAATTTGAAACGATTGTTCGTAATATAAAGCCGTGGAGCTGACATTTTGACATCGGTAACGTTAGATGAATTCCTTAACTGAATTTTTAATTTTATTAAATATTTTTTTATAAATATATTTGAAAAGCTGACAGAAATCGGTGAATCGAGAAACAAGTACGTATTAAGCATTATGTTTGATGTTGATTTTATGCATTGTGAATACCACTAGGACGTAGACAATACAGAGTCAGCTGTCAATGTTAATTGTCAAAAAATTACAAGCTTGTTATTTTTCCCAGAGATAAAATATAGATGTGTGCGAAATTCGAATAGACACTTAAAAACTCTTCCGATTTTATATATCACAGTCAAAAGTATCGGCCCATGTCGAGTTTAGTTTTAAGTTTCGGCCAAGTTGTGATTAGTTTCTTTAGTTTATGCGTAATTGTACTTACTTGAGTTAGCGCGGAGTGTATAAGATACCAAAAATTTAACTTAACTACAATGTTTTGTTTACAAAGCCGACTTATAGGTGGTATTCTGAGTCGAGACTGCTAAGTATATGTCAAATTTAACACGTTTAGACTTGACGTGACTAAAGACCTCGGCTGTAAATGTTACCATAAGTACAATTTTAAATTCTTTATTTCAGTGTTATTGGCTTGAGAATGTATCCATTTTACATATTATTCTATTACGTTAAGGTATTTTAACCAACTTAAAAATATTACGTGTTCGATGTGTTTTTCGTATTATGTGATCTCCATAATTTTTTGAGGTTATATTGAGACTACAGTATTTTTATACACTCTGGAAATCAGTCAGTGTTTATGTTTTTAAGATTTTAATGTATTTTTATTTATATTATTCGATTATTGATTCAATTTTAAGTATTTTTAATTAAAACCAAAGAAATTATAATGCAATTTTGTTTAAATTTTTTTACACTGTAAATTCTAAAAAATTTACAATATTTGGTGATTGCAAAAATAAAGCTCTCGCGGGCCATTTTTATAATAATATTTCATATTTTGCACAATGCAACGTTCCATGATGGCCTAGATTTTCCGTTGAAATATTTAAAGTTAAACAATAAAATCGACAAAAATGTAAAAATTATTTTAAAAACAGTATTTGTTTTTTAAATGCCATAATCTAGTTAATAGCGGTCATTTGTTTCTTTCTGTCATATTACGTTTACGCTGCAATGAAAAGAGATAGATGGATTTAGGAAACAGTATAAGGCAACTGTCGAGAGAGTGCTAAGTATGTCTTCCGGATGTCAAATATTACGTTTTGGAGATACGAAAGTTATACTTTGAAGTTTTGACTCTAAATCTTATATATACCAAGCATAGACTATAAATTGCAATATCAATGGCTGTTAAACTGTGACAGCTATTTAAAAGAATAAATGAAAGATTGTTTCGCAACTGTTGTTTAAAAACTCGCACACAAATGCTGTTTTTAAAAGTAATTTGTGATTGTTGACATTTGTAAAAATATGATTGATGATCGGGCCGTGAACGCGTCGTGGCCGTTTTAATCAATTTCAAAATACAAAATGTTTATCGTGACGTGTGTGGCTCGATTTAATGCATATTATCTCTTAATGATCAAAATAAAAATAGACACGAAATTGTCATTCTTGCTAATTTATAATTCGTAGAGTAAATCCAAAAACGCTTTTCGGTGTAAAATAGTTAATATTTATTAAGATATTTGAAATTGGTAAAATTTTAAATTAACAAAATAGTTTTTATACATTTATAGCGAGACGTTTTGGCATTGACAGTTCGTGCCTGTTTTTGTTTTGATAGTTGTCAAGTTTGACATTTGAATAATCAGTGTGACACCACATTCATGCACTATTGTTATCGTAATCATATTTGTATCAAAATGAAATAAATGAATGATTTTAATCAGAATTTTATTTTTAAATCCTCAATTTCTCTTAGATTACTTGATTACAGCGTCTCCTATAGTACAATTTAAAATCTAAATTCACCAAACAATTGTCCGGTTCAGTAGTTCAAAAGGCCGCCATTGCATTTCAGTGATTTATTACTATGACATAGGGTAACTACGTAACATAGATGACATAAAAAGGCAAATAAAACACATTTTTCATTTAATTGAATGTTTTATTCTTTCTCTACCTAATATTAAAGAGAAAAAGAAACATCAAAATGACTAAGTCACTAATTTTATACATGGAACACTTATCACTACACAATTGTACAGTCAGCAAAACAATTTGATAGCAACAGTTTTAAATAAACCGCGATATATCAGAAAACAATACACAAATGATTAATATTTTTTATAAATAAGACACACGCATTATTAAAATGACAATTTTTACCTACATTTACAAAACCAACTACAAAATCACAGATAAGGAATAATCATTTGACTTTGACAGCAGTCATAAGGTTTGTAACAGGTTTTTAAACTTCCTATAATGGCTAAATAGGGGGCCTCATAGCCTAGCGGTCTTATTAAGTGGCAGCTAGGTGAGGGGTACCGGGTTCGATTCCCGGTTCGAGGGCAAGTTTTAATTTAATTTAAATTTGTTCTCGGCCTTTGGGAGGGTTGTGCGGTACCGGGCGAGTGCTTAAACCGTACATAAAGGGCACTGTCGAATTTCTTAAAGACAAGCACGAATTATAAAAAGTCCTATACTTGACGCTAGCTAATGCACAAATCGTGCCAGAGCCATAAAAAAAAATTGCTAAATAGTGTCGCTGTGTCGTCGAGTAAATAATAAAATCGCCGTAATTCACAAAAGGCTGTTATTTTACAAATTCAAATACATTTTGTGTCTAATAAAAGTAATCAGACAATCTTAGGTACTAATTTTAATCAAATTGTTTTGCTGACGATACTTAAGTCATGGAAGATTACTAGACTAGAATATATAACACCGAACAAACGGTTTCTATATTTAACGAATAGTTAAAAAACTTTTAATGAAACACTGCTAAAAATTGTATAAACGCGTTTTATATAGAAATGAAATTAATTCACGTAAACAATGTTCAATTCAAAAAATGTGTTTGGACATCTGAATTAATTAAAAAAATATTTTTGAAATGACCAAACAAGACTTTGCGCTACTTATTGTAAAACTAGATTTAGGGACACTACACACATAACACACAAGATCTATCTTTGAGAGTTTCAGAAGTATTTTTTTTAATTCTGGAAAACAATTTTCCCTTTTAACATTAAATTAAAAAAAAGAAAGACGATGCCGAATAACGAGTGTCTCTTTCTAAAGATCAATAATTAAATAACTATTTAAATAAAATAGTAATATAGCTGTTAAAAAAATAATAAACCGTTTTGTTCGTAACCAAAAATGTAACAAGTTATGAGTGTAGTATAACTAATAAAAAAAAAACATATAAAATGCAGTAAAAATTGGACAGTCTTATAAACTTTGGTTTGAATAACATCAGAAATAATACTAAATTGATTTTAATTAATTATAAATTTATTAAAATCAATTCAGTAGAGACATTTTCTCTTTATTTTACTAAGATCAGTATCAATAACATTAAGAGATTCAAATTCTACTAACACAGTTAGGGTCTACTTAAATCTCCCATACACGAGACAGCGCTAAGTATGACTCGGATATGTCAAAATTTGACATTCGAAAGAAGATCGCCTCTGACTTTACCCTAAGCCCTTAAAATTAAAAGAAAATTAACGAACAGAAATCTCTATCTATTTATAGCATAGACAACCAAGAAATCTTTGGTATAAGGTTTTAAGGCGGAGCTGGTGAACCACGGAATTGGAAAGGCCTCTAACTCACCGGAATGCCATGGCTACGTATCCATAATCACCAATTGGAAGCACAGCCCAGGTTTAAAAAGATTATTCGCTGTGAAGACTTGCAAACTTAATAACTTCATTTTTTTGTCATTAAATTTAATATATGTATATGTGTAATAGTGAATATTTAGTAAACCAGCACTGAAGATGCCACTAAAATCCTGTGTGGAGATGTAATTGGACTTCAGGTTTACAAATGTTTTAGTGTGTAATAACTTTATATAATCAATCTGTTTTTGTACCAAAAATGTACAAATAAAAATAAATTTATTCTTTTTAATGTTTTCGCCACGCACAAGTGCAAGAAATTGTATGCCTAGAGTATCCATTGTTGATACGAAATCTGATAGAACTGATTGACAGATAGGCTACTATCTACAGCCAAGGGTAGCGATGCCAAAGTCGCCATGGGGTCACGGTGTGTAAGCCTAAATGGAAGGGAAACTATTTCTAGGCAATGTTGCTACACTGTACTACTCAAAAATTTTAACAAGAAATAAATAGAATTATCAAAAAAGGAAAACTTTTTGCTATCTTCTGTATGTTTTTAAATCACAGTAAACTACCCCCTATACGGTTCACATTCTCCGGCACGAAAGAACAGTTAAGAGGGGGAATGGGTGCTTGCTGATTCTGGACGAGTAGGGACACAGGAACAGGGCTATGGAAGCCGTGGATTGTCCGTAGTCATGTCTAGTACGCTCTAACCGTCGCGTTATTTAACAAAACAATGGCGCTACATCCTTTTTAGGTCTGGGCCTCAGATTTCTGTTTCATGATCATTTGTCAATCTAGGCAAGTAAGTGATCAGCCTCCTGACACACGCCCTCGACTTTTGGGATCTAAGGCAAGCCGGTTTCCTCACCATGTTTTCTTTCACCGTTTGAGCGAATGTTAAATGCGCACATAGAAAGAAAGTTCATTGGTGCAAAGCCAGGGATCGAACCTACGACCTCAGGGATGAGAGTCGCACGCTGAAGCCAATAGGCCATTTTGGGCAATTGACGAATACATAATAATAAATAGTTTGACTCGCTGTACGCTATCTACTCATGACTTAACCGTGATTAGATTTTTTAATTTAGACAAATTGCCGTAGCCGGCCTTTAGAACCTATGTTTATCCGTTCTCTACAACACAGATATGCCTTATTAGTAACGGACTTTAAGGAAGAAGTTTCGACGTAGTAGTTTTTTAATAGAGAATAGAATTTAGTGAACTCAAATGTCAAATTTTCGTTTTGGAACGAGCCTAATAATATTTTTACCACTAAAGTATGCTATGGGCACAGATTATTATAATGATTAACTCATGGCAACACTGCCAAACATTTGTCTAATTAAAATTGATTTAAAATCACATTTTCTTCCGTCGAGTATTTCGAAGTACAGAGTAAATTCCATGTAACGTCCCTCGATTTAACGACAAACCCCTTAAAGCGTCGAAATCAATCGGCTTTGGTGGGTTTAGCGTGTCTTCCATACAATGATACTGTACATAGCATTACACCCTCAATAACGACAATTAAATAATAAAAATTACTTAAGTTGCCGAAATTAGTTAAAACTGCGGAGCTGTGTACGTTCTTTTGTCGCTTTATTGTTAGCCCGGAATAAACTCGACAATCGGCATCATATTTACTGAACTTTCTAAGAAATCCGTTCTTTTGTTTACAATTTGGGACTGCTTGAGCGTACTTTATCACGAAGAAATACAAAATAATTACTGGTGCAGTAAAAAATGTGACGAAAATAACAGACTATACGCAATAGCGTTTAAATAAGAATTGTTTTTTATGAAATTACTAACACTAGTCTGAAATAAAATTGTCTAATACAGATTTTTCTTTTTTCCCCTCTAAATCTTTGTAACGTCAAAATACGCAGTCCCTTGAGTGTCGTTAAAAGAGTTTAGACTATATATTTCTAAATAATATAATATTGTTTGAAAATCGACAGAAGATGCATTCAAATGTTTAATATTGCTTAAATAGCCGTGAGATCATTCCATAAATCCCAGATCAGTCTGATGACAATTGACTTCAACTATACCTTGACTTGACACTGACATTTGACACATGCCGCCAAACTCTTCTCAATGAAAACTTATCAGTAGAATCTTGATAGCGCCAAAGAAATCACATCAGCAATTCCAACTTAGTATAATCCGGTTTTCAAGTTAAATTTTCAATTCATTAATAGGACGTTTCTTTCCTTCCAGTGAATGACACGATGGAACGTATACCTTTCACGGACGTCTGAAAAAATTCACAATCAATAATAAATAATTTTAAAATATGTGTGGTTAAATATGGTGTACAGAAGTTCCATCAAAAACCAAAGCATTATTTATTTCTCTTTATTTGAAGAAATTATATAATTACTAGCTGACCCGGCAAACTTTGTTTTGCCATGTATATTATTTCTAAGAAACATTTTTTTAGTTCAATAAAAATATCTATTCTACACTAATAAAAAATAGGGGTAGATCGTAGAGGGGTGAAAAGTAAGGGTTGTATGTATTTTTGAATATACTGTATCATAAAAAATAAAAACAAAACGATTTGTCGAAAAAAAGGGGGGTTGGACCACCCTTAGCATTAAGGGGTTTGAAAGATAGTAGCCAATTCTCAGACTTACTGAATATGCATACAAAATTTCGTAAGAATCGGTCGAGCCGTTTCGGAGAGGAGTATGGGAACGAACATTGTGACACGATATAATCTGTGCGTAAAAAGAAGAAGCCGTTCTACTACCAGATAGACGGATCAAGTGAAAGAGTCATCGTCCTCAAAACTGTACACTGTTATCAGAGAGGCGCTGGACAGAAACCGGTTGAAACAGATTGTCAGCTCCAGATGTTTGCTGACCACGATCAGACATGAGCTACCGACTAAAGTGAGTTAGTCGTAGGTTTACATAGAAACGTACCTTTTTCTTTGATCCATTCAATATATCCTTATACATCTCCGAGCGGAGGTATCTTGAATAGCTGTCAGACTTCATTAAATGGTACACGTGGGCCTGAAAGAAACGTCATGAGGAGTTAAGGAGGATTTCGTAGAAATGTTCTATTCTAAAAAAATGCCGGCAACGCACTTGCCCCCTGGTAAATGTGAGTGTCTACGGGCGGCGGTATCACTTAACATTATGTGAGCCTCCTACCAGTTTGCCCACAACGTTTTGTTTCTTTGTTACATAAAAAGAAAAAAATCTTTTTACGACCCTGGACTCGGTAACCCATGACATCAAAATATTACTAAAAAATTAAAGCAATTCATTCTCTTGTATATAAGTTATGTTTTATCAAAATCGATCTAGCATTTTTAAATGCTTGTTTTTTTCACTTCGACGTCACGCGATCGTCACGTACGTGAGCGACGACCAACGTTCACGAGTGCGCTCGCTCAGTAGTATTTTGCATACGTTAAATATCTCTCTCTCAATCATAAAGATTAAAAAAATTGTTTCAGTTTAGTTACTTATTTTTTGATACAAACGAAACAATGGTCCCAATATTGTTGTATTATGATCACCACCTAAACCTATCTATCAAGGACAGAATTCACGTCAGGGTTCACAAAACGGACAGCCCATTTACACCCATTTTAGTGGGTGCGTTGCCGGCTTTATTTCTATAAATAAGACACATTTGTACTCGAAAAGTGATTTTGATTTATACAATTTTTTAAATACCAATATGTGATAGGTCCCATAAAGGGCCATCATGTTCATTCCATCAGACCAGCTGTACCAGTAAAACTTTTGCCCCATACAAATAAAGTTTCTCTTACCTGCGCCTGATCAAAGCAATATCTATCCGGTTTTCCGGACTCCACTCTCACACGTGTTAGTTCCCTGTAAAACACATTATATTTTATTTAAGACGATTTTTTTAAAATAAAGCTAAACTTCACTCTTTCGTCTCTTTCTACCAAATTGTGATTTCGCTTCGATTAAAAGAGACATCTAGTATTTTGTATAAATGATGAACGCGACCAGCACTTATTAATTTTTGTTATAATAGATATTCTTTGTTTTTATTACAGATAATAATTTATCAAAATTTCTAAATAGCAGTGTTGCTCTAGTATTTAGGCGCGTGCATATCCCAATCATGGTCATATATTTATCTAAATACCTAACATATATCTATATGTTGTCAGTTACAGTGTAATAAACAGTAAACTCCTGGTTTGGTCTAGGTATGTACGACAAGGCCTACCCGATTTCACCATAAAAAATAAAAATAAAATATGTTTATTATGGAACATAAGACTCATCGGCAAAGAAGACAGAGGGTGTAGGCCGAGAGAAAAAGCCAGAGTAAAAAACTCTCGGTAATCTTTTAAAATAGCAAATCATCAAACAACACGTATTTTAAAACAAATATCGCAAATTCATTAGAAATAGCCTGTCTAGTACTAGTCCCAGGCCCTTTCATCAACTAGATAATCGTTAACTTTATAGTTAACCTTTTTACGCAGCTTTTCTTTAATACATTTCTTAAATTTATTAAAAGGGAGAACCTCTGGGATTTTATTAAAGAAGAGTATCCCTTTTCCCAAAAATCATTTACCTTCCACAGCAAACCACCAAAGCATTCCCTGTCCTTGTCTTCTCCTCTTTTATCCCACACTGCTCTCGTATCTTACAATTATATCTACGCAATACACCACACATACTTCCTAACGCTCATTCCACGGCATTTATAAACACATTTTTTTAGAAAGCCAGAAATATATGACGATAAAATGGCAACATCTTCGTATAAAACATTACCTGCTCGCAGCATCAATATTAACGGGCGAAGGTGCGTTGGGGTCGAGAAACTCCTTCCAAATATCCCGAGCCCGAGAGGCCACGCGACATATCGGAAGCGCCTTCAACTCTTGCACGGCCAACCAGAAGCTGCAATACAAAAAAAGAGATACAGTGGTACCGCGATATACCAGTGTTTTGAGATGATAGCAAGACTTGAGATCGCACACTACACTAAGGGGATGTCCATTAACCACGTGAGGTTTGAAAGGGGGAGGGGTTCGGCAAAAAATTCGTTCATCCGCAAACGGACAGCCTCACTGATGCGTGGGGTTCGTGCGAGTACTAACAATATCCTGATGGTTATAGGTAATAAACCCAAATGTGCGGTTTTAAGACATTGGGTTCATATACAATATACATGCCCATATACCTGGTGCCTCGAATCAACGTAGGTATGAATTAAACGTTTTCTTAAATTTTTGAAGTGAAACTTCTTTATCGAGGTTGGAAAAAAATTTAGTGTAAATTTTTTCGTTACGCGTCACATTTTTCGGTTACGCGCCATGTTACTTTTTGAAGTCAAACTTCTTTATCGGCGTTGGAATGAAACTTCTTTATCGACGTATGGGAGAAATTTTGTAGCAAATCGTCACGTTTTTCAATGATAGTAATAATTCTATTACAATTAATGAAATTCAATAATAATCTTCGTAGTAATAAGGTTAAATGAAATATTTGTATTCATGTCTATGATAATAAAAGCCTTTTGTTAAACTTTATCTAATTTAACGAATTTCTGTAAAGTTGCATATAGTAGATCATTTTTCGAAAAATAAGATCATAAAGAAGTTTCACTTCTTACGTGTGTACACCTAGTACACGCACAATTTATTTTTCTTCTTTGTGTCTTTAATAATTTTGCTAATTTTATTTTCACTTACATAGTTATAACTTATAAGCATAACTCTACTAACAATATATTATGGACTTTTAATGGTCTGAATTAAATGATTTTTATTTTATTTTTTAAAAATCACGAAATATCACAAGGTGGAGGGGGGTATAGTAAGATATCACGTGTACTTATTTTAACGCGTGATTTCTAAACCGAAAAGCGGCTTAGAAAAACGATCGATCAGTAGATCGAGAGAGATTATCTGCGTAGTGCGCGTGATGACGCCGAGTGGCTTGATGAAACCGACTTTATTTATTTATTTTTATTTTTTTATTTATTTCTTGTACATAATAATAAAACTGACTTGAGATTTTCCCCACTGAATTCCTTATTGAGAAACTTCGCGAAGTGGTCCCGCCCTGGAGGATCGCGGAGCAGTTCCCGAAGGTTGAACGACCAGCGTCTGACGCGACGGAGGGGTAGTGGTTCTTTACTGAAATAAATATAACATTTTTAAAAAATACAGACGAAAAAGTAGTTTACGAGAGCAATTAAACTAATTTAGTTTTATTTTTAAAACAAACTAAAATATATGAATTTGTGTGTCAAAAATTTTATATTGTTATATGTTATTTGAAAGACAAGGATAGAAGTCTAACATAAGTGTTGTCATAATATAAAAATCCCAATGTAATGAATTGTTTAGAAGAAGAAACCTAAGCGCAAGTGTTGCCATATTTTTTCAAGAAACCCAAGCACAAGTGTTGCCATATTATTTCAAGAAACCTAAGCACAAGTGTTGCCATATTTTTTTTCAAGAAACCCAAGCACAAGTGTTGCCATTTTTTTCATGAAACCTAAGCGCAAGTGTTGCCATATTATTTCAAGAAACCCAAGCACAAGTGTTGCCATATTTTTTTCAAGAAACCCAAGCACAAGTGTTGCCATATTTTTTTCAAGAAACCCAAGCGCAAGTGTTGCCATATTTTTTCAAGAAACCCAAGCACAAGTGTTGCCATATTTTTTTCAAGAAACCCAAGCACAAGTGTTGCCATATTTTTTTCATGAAACCTAAGCGCAAGTGTTGCCATATTATTTCAAGAAACCCAAGCACAAGTGTTGCCATATTTTTTTCAAGAAACCCAAGCACAAGTGTTGCCAAGGGGGGGCCGGGGAAGGGGGGGGGGGGGGGGGGGGTTATTATTTTATGAAACCCAAGCACAAGTGTTGCCATATTATTTCAAGAAACCCAAGCACAAGTGTTGCCATATTTTTTCATGAAACCTAAGCGCAAGTGTTGCCATATTATTTCAAGAAACCCAAGCACAAGTGTTGCCATATTATTTCAAGAAACCCAAGCACAAGTGTTGCCATATTATTTCAAGAAACCCAAGCACAAGTGTTGCCATATTTTTCAAGAAACCCAAGCACAAGTGTTGCCATATTCTTAACATGAAACTCGAATGTCAGTGTTGTGTATGTGTAGGCAATTGAATGTAAATTGACGTATCAATAAAATCCAAATGTAAGTGTCTCATTCGTAACAAGGAATTCAAATGTGTTGCTACATTCCCTTATTTTTAAAGGTGCCTTCATACTGGGAGAGTATTTAGACCATAACTTTCGACAACAATTATAAATAACTGTTCTTATTTTTATGATATTTACATGCCTTTTTATATAGCTGTGTGGTTTTATAATTAATCAATCCGAATGTACCACTTAATATAATAACGATTTATGATCAACAGAAAAAGGGTGCATATTGTCATACATCTTTACAACTAAATAATTATAAAAAAGTGCGTGCGTACAAAGTACACATGTCAGAAGTGAAACTTCTTTGGCAAAACGTGGCATTTTAATTTACAATTCGTCATTTGAGGTTTCAATAAATTATTTTGCATAAAATCTAAAATACCAATATTTCATAAATTCACTTTACGAAATTTTAAAAATCTAATTTCTATACGGTAATTCACCCTTCTCACTCTCTCTCAATCGCTCTCTCCCTTTCGACAAAAACGCTGCACATCTTCGTGACGTTTTACCCTCATGCGCTAAAGAAGTTTCACTTCAAAAAATCTCGATATTATTATAAACAATAAATACCATTGCTTCTCTTGATCCCACAGTTCTGTAGTATCGCTTATCCATGGATTGGGCCATTCTGGTGGAGTCAGGAAGGCGTCGTATTCTGCATATTGCTCGCAGTACGATATGAATCTGTGGTTAAACTCACACTTTTCATACAAGAGAACCAACAATTAAGGGCCGATTGAAATAGGCCTAGACTTATAAGCGATTCCTTCTACCCGTCCTAAGAAGTCACAGAGCAAAGTGCAAATATTCTGTAATCTTATTTTAATAAGTGTTTCTTATCTGTAAAGCAAGTCAATAACACTTTTTTTATAGGAGGGAAAACGAGTCTACGGGAATACCCAATTTAGTGGGTGCGTTGCCGGCCTTACAGTATGCTCGGTTCTTTTCAACAATTCGAGATCGTATCTCCCAAGGAAGACCCCTCACTGGGAGTCACTTCCACAGTTCGCTAGTTCGCCAAATAAAATCTTCTGTGAAGCAGACAGTGGAATACTTAGAGCCAAGGTGATGCTGAAAATTCTAATAATCTTTTTTTTCTTCTTTTATAGAACAAGGTTCAAACGGGCAGGAGGCTCATCTGATGTTGAGTGATACCCACCATGGACACTCACATTGCCAGAAGGCTCGCAAGTGCGTTGCCGGCCTTTCAAGAATTGGTACGCTCTTTTCTTGATGGAGCCTAAGTCGAATTGGTTCGAAAATACTTTAGTGGGCAACTGGTTCCACATAGAATAAAATAAAAACGCTCAGTTGTGGAACGACGGACGTCGAGGTGATACGGGTGGAGTTTCCTGGACGTCCAATGATGAAACTCCGTATCTTGATTGGTGAAATAAGTATTTACTTACATTTCTGCAACCTTACTGACGCGAACATTTCGTCTCTCGAGTCGCGCCTTCAAAACCGCAACTTGTCGTTTAGCCGCCTCAATCTGTGCTTCAATACTCGGCTTGTCACCCTCCAGTGTTGCCAGTTCAGAGTGGGATGTTTCGCCTGAAATAAAAATTTAAAATTACAGCGATTCCGAATGTTTATAAGAACTTTATATACTACATATGCTTTTAATAGATTATACTTATGGTACTGTATTGTTATTTTAATTGAAATATAATTTCATGAAGGATCAATACAAATTTATTGTTTTTAATTCAAGCATCACACACTTAGATAAAATCAAATCTACGATAAGTTAGTGCCCGCTTTTATTACACACTTTGTAAGCCTAAATAAATAATACATACACTTTAGAAATAGATTAACAAAATTCAATCAAAGATTGTCCCTAAGCTGTGAAAAATAGTCAAACTAAAAATGAATTGTCCCTAAGCTGTCAAAAAATAGTCAAGTCAAAACTAAATTGTCCCTAAAAAACTAAAAATGAATTGTCCCTAAGCTGTCAAAAATAGTCAAACTAAAAATGAATTGTCCCTAAGCTGTCAAAAAATAGTCAAACTAAAAATGAATTGTCCCTAAACTGTCTAAAATAGTCAAGCGAATTAGTAATAATGGTAACTCACCATTTTCCTTAACGGCCTCAGAATTCTTCTGTATGGCCTCTTCGCTTTCTTGAGGGTTTGTGATTGTTACTATTGGGTTGTTCTGTAAAAGTCAAAATTTTTAAAATGTGAATAACTTAACGCTAGTCATGAGTCTGTAATGTGTCACAATCTAGTCAATTTCTGTCTGGGTGACCATTTTTTTAAATGAAACTTCTTTAGGCGCATGAGGTTAAAATTTTTACGGATGAAACGCAATAATATATTAGCGTCACGATGTGCAGCGTTTTTGTCGAAGAAATGGGAGAGAGTGAGAGAGAGTGAGAAAGGGCGAAGCATGAAGCATATAGCCATAGAGCGAGAGTAGGGAGCAAGCAAGCAAGAAAGGTCGAGAGAGATAGAGTGAGATAGAGAACGTTGCATCACGCACAGTGCCATAGAGCGAGAGGTGGGAGAGAGCTATAGAGAAAAAGATTGAGAGAGAGAGAGTAAGGGAGAATGAGAATGTACTATATTTATACATAAATGCAACGAAGTGTTAATAAATAAATAAATATACAAATACATGGAGTGAACATATTCTGGTACATGATCATCTATTGGGGCTTTTACCTCAGTAATAATTAATTTACAAAGAATTTTCACTTCTGTACTTTGTACGCACGGCCTTTTTTTGATAGGCAAGTAGTTGATCAGCCTTCTGTTTGTTCATCGACTTTTTGGGTATAAAGTCGTTTTCCTCACAATATTTTCCTTCGATGCTTAGCGGACTCATGCGACTTCTTCAATACAAAGAGTCTTCTGAGTGCTGCGAAATTGCGGGCTACTCAATTGTGAGAAAGTTGCATGGTTCTCATGTCATTCACACGTGTATAACATTTCTATATTTTCATAAGTATCTGATCGTGCTTGTAACATGTGTGATGTTTGAGAGTGAACATAAAATGGTAAATTTAAAAAAAAATCGGCCGTACAAGCGAGTCAATGCCACTCACAAGAGTTAAAGGTCGTACACTGCTCATAGCATTAATCGTGATTTTAAACTCTACCTCTTCTGCCCCATGCCCCAAGTACAAACCTTCAAATTGTGCTGAGTAATGAGCTCTCTGCATAGCTGAAGCCGTTTTTCCTTTAAAGCGTTAATTCTTGACAGTTTCTTTGGATCCAATTCCGTTGTGTTCACACATCCGGGCTGGAAAATTTTACAAATTAAATGATTTTATTACTAGTAGATTCTGTGCAGAAAGATAAACTAAATTCTTATTTGCTACTCATGAAAAATGCGCAAAGGTAATGAGAACTTGGAGAACCTGATCGTGGTTGGTAACACAGAAGGAAGAATCACGTGGCCGTTCACCAACCAGATGGACCGATCAAGTGCAGGACTCATCCTCAAAATTTACTCATACACTGCTAACTTTTACTTAATATTATTCTTATTTTTCTACTAAGTATTACTAGCCCCGCACGTTGATATTGCGATGGAACCTTGTCACAATAACAGCTGCGTGACGTCATCCACCGCAGAAAAGTACAGACAACAAAAAAGTTAATAATAATAATATTAATTTATTTGCTTGCTCTTATTTTATATTTTATTTCTTGGTTTATATTTTGAATCAATAACTTAGAGTCCGCTTTCTCCTTAACGAAATTTGTCCACTTTAATAATCATTTCACGAGCACGGCTGTTAATTACTTTTTTGCTCATTTTAATAGGACAAGTATGATATCAAAACTAAACAACAAAAATAAAACACGATAACGAAAATAAAAAGCAATAAAAAACACGTCGCAGATTTACTCAATACGCGTAAGTGCTGGGTGACCTTGCGCACGGTACTGACACGGACAGATCGACTACGTCACTAAGATGGCCGCCAGTCGCAATATCAACGTACTGGACTAGTATTTATTACATTCCTTTTCTTTCTTTTTTTGCTACTGAGGCGCAAAGAAGCTGCTGTGGTCTCTGGCAGAATGACCAGCGCTGTGGAACAGTCTGCTCCTTAGCATAATGCTGAGCCAGGGCCAATTACAACCACAGACACGCATTACACACTTGAAACGAACCGAAAGGGAAAAGGGAAAAAATATTCTTGTTTTTGTTGGTAATAAATGTTATGTTTAAAAACACTGTCATATGAGAGGCGCTAGACAGAAATTGGTGGAAACAGATTGTCAACTCCAGATGTTTCCTTGCAGTCACGATCAGACATGAGCTTCCTGACTGATGAAAGTCTTACACAGAGAATTACACTTTTTGCCACCTTCTTTGGCTCGAGAAATGTTTTTTGAGAACAGCAACCCATTTCCTTCTTCTTTCCCCTTTCTCTTCTTCTATTCCAAAGGACACACCAGCAGTCCATATTCTAATTCGTATCTAAAGAGACTCTTTTCTTAAATTAATCTCAAACTTTAAACAGAAAAAATGGTTTAACGTCTCCGGAACTAGTTTTATACAACTCACCTCACAGCTCCAAGACACTCCCTCTGAAGGCTCACTCGTTGCGGCCTTTTAGGAATTGAAAAATTTGGTACCGGTATCAACCGGCCTACCCTCACTTTAATTCGGATTCAACAATCAGAACAAATATCAGCGACAAATCACGCTCATGCGCAATGTAGACACGTTTTTTCTTCTTAAATAAGCCATTTTCAACTCACCATAGGTCTATGAAGATCCCAGAACGCCCTCTCCTGGCTGTCCAGAACTTTCCTCTCCAACTTATCCCTTTTCTTATCAACCTGAAAATTATTAATTTTAAATGGTCATGTATAATTTAACAAAATCAGTGGCGCTACAACCTCTTTCGGTCTGGGGCTCAGATTTCTGAATCTATTTCATGATCATTTGTCAATCTAATAGACAAGTAGAGCACACGCCGTCGACTTTTTGGGTCTAAGACATGTCGGTGTCCTCACGATGTTTTCCTTCACCATTCGAGCGAATTTTAAATGCGCACATAGAAAGAAAGTCCATTGGTGCACAGCCGGGGATCAAACCTACGACCTCAGGGATGAGAGTCGCACGCTGAAGCCAACACTGCTGCTATGTATAATTTGATACCCGATTAAATAATCATTATTTCCAATATGGTTGAATTCCTTTTGAATTAATTAACTAAACTCAAAATAACGTTATTCATATAGGTAACCAAGTACACTCCACGTCAACAGAAAAGATGTTATATTGATTCTAAATTTACATTTACTACCAGTTCGCTAGTCAAGGGCGTAGAGCGGGCAAGAAGAACTTGAGAAGAACAAGCAAAAAAATTATATTGGCTCATCTTACCTATAAAAAGAGAACCACGTTATAAAAGAAATTTTCAAGTCTTTAGAGACATTACTATATATACCCCGAAGATGATTGATATCCGATAAAACAATTTTTTTTTAACCTAAAAAGTGAAACATCTTAGGCACATGAGGGTAAAATGTTTACGGATGAAACGCAATAAACACATTAGCGTCACGAATATGTGCAGCGTTTTTGTCCAAGACAAGGGAGAGAGAGAGTGAGAAGGGCGAATTACCTTATAAAAATTATATTTCTAAAATTAAAATTTATGAAATATTAGTATTTTATATTTTATGCAAAATAATTTATTGAAATCTCAAAGACGAATTGTAAATTAAAATGCCACCTGTTTTTACTATCGAAGAAATAAATTTAATTTATAATTTGTATTAATTTTCGACACTTAATATTTTAATGACAACTAAATTCATTAAATTCCTAAAATATCTTCCATTTTCCCTCCCTCTAAGTCTCGGAAATCTGAAGTTTTAGATTTGTATAAATATGAACAAGAGTTAAAAATTAGTTTGCCAAAGAAGTTTCACTTTTGACATGTGTACTTTGTACGCACGCGCTTTTTTTATAACCTTACCCTTGTTTAGGATTATTAGCTTCTGAGCTTCTGGAAGGAGCTAGAACTTAACGCACAAGAGACAACTTTTTTACTTACTTTGCTCTGAGCCTCTGCCTGCATGAATATAAACTCCCATTTCCTGCTGAACATCTTCTGTAACCGCGCCAAAGACTCTGCCTCATAATCAGCCAGTTCTAAACGCGCCTTGTTCTGCATTGTTCGCTTGCAGAGGTATACCGCTGAAAACGAGAACAATTAGGGTCCATCAAGAATACAGACTCCTAAAAGGCCAACCCACTGGCCAACATTCTGATGAATGCCAATTTTGTCGCTGTAGAATGATAACCTCATATGTGCAGAGAACCAAACATTACAGGAAACGAAAAAATGTATCATTTCGTCAATTTTCGTTAAAATATTAGACATAGACATATCATTTATTACAAACAAAAACATACACACAAAATAACAATAATCAAAGAGAAATAATTAAATAAAAATATATGAGAGATATATTTTTTCTTTTTTCCTTTTCCCATTCGGTTCCCTATGTAATGCGTGTGTGCTGTGGCTGTAATTGGCCCTGGCTCAGCATTATGCTGTGGAGCAGACTGTTCCACAGCGCTGGTCATTCTGCCAGAGACGGGAGACCACATCAGCTAGTTTGCGCCTCAGTCGCAAAAAAAAAAAGAATATATTAACACTTAGTAGAAAATAATAATATTAGTAAAAGTTAGCAGTATAAGTAATGAAGTCTTGTGTAATGTGGTGTGAAGTTAATAAAATAAATTAATTAAAAATACGAATTATTGTTAAGAAAGATTTTTTTTTCTTTGAGTATTGTTATTTTGTGTGTTAATGTGTGTGTGCTGTTCTGTTTTCTTATTTTATATATGTACCTACATCTGTGCGCTCTAATTTTTAATCTTAGTTTTAAATATGTGTTTCTCAGTAAGTGAATTTTCAATTCTTATGAGAAATAAAGTTATTCTTAAACCAGTGTTTTCGTATGTAATAAATGTTGTCTATGTCTATGTTTAGTCCTAATTTTGGATGGTAAAAAGAACTTGTTTATTAATAACATAAATAAGTCCTTACTTCATGAAAAAACCAGTTAAATGACATAAGAGTCTAATAATAAATAAAAAAATGGTTTTTTGACATACGAGGCTATATAGTGACGATTTGTTTTTTTTTTAAATATGAAAAAGTTGTATACACACCGTAATCCGTATTTTCAGGCTCCCACTGATTTGACGGCCAAAAGTACGGCGTTTGGAACCTGATAAATAAGTTATTTATTTCATAATACATCTTTATATTTGTATACAAATTATTTAAAATTGTAATTCGGTAGGTGGTGCTGCTTAAGGCCCTACCCAGCACCAATTGCTGTGTCAGTGTCTCAGGGTGGACTGCAGTGCGTAGTGGAGAGCTGGAGCACTGAGGCGCGCCGGCCCGTAATAACAATTAGTTATGTAAAACATTAAATGTAATTTTATCAATTTATTTTCTGAAATGGATTATTTATTTATTTACACTTCGTTGCTAATAATATAAGAAACACAATACATAAAAATTATAAGGGATGCAACGGGCGGCCTTATCGCTAATAAGCGATCTCTTCCAGGCAACCCTAGTTAAGAGAAAAACTAAAAGATTACTTGGCTTGCGATATAAATATCGTGTAAATTTCAAAATCATGTTCTATATACATTTTCGTCATGAAATGCTAAAATTGGCTATGTTTGGATTTTTTTCTATCGAGCGAAGTTATTTAAATCGTGTATCGGTCTTTTAAAATGGATACATAAACTACTCAACTCCACCATATAATTTTTCCAATCGCCCTACTTCAAGAAACGATGACGAAAAATGGAAAGAAACGATTTACTTTTTTGGAATTTGGCGACCATATTAATTTTACAACTTTTCTAGACCTTTTATTTAGACTAAGGTTGTTTTTTCCGGAAAAGCCTCTATCTCATATCAAAATGTTCCATATGGTATATGCTTTTAATTTAATAATGTAGTAATATGACCATTAAAAAGAGTGGCGTAGAGTTTATTGCCAGTTCTTCTCGTCCGTTCTACGCCCTTGATTTGAGAACTGGCAGTAAATGTAAAATTACAACCATTTAGTATTTAATATAATGTTTCTTTTTCGACGTTCTTAAGTGTACATTGTGTTACCTAAATGAATAAATGACTTTGACTTTGAATATATTTTAATAATGTGATGATAAAATAATATAAGAACTGACTGTCATCATGACATGTCATCTGTAACTGCTATGTAAAATTCCATTTAAGACAAATTTAAACAGAATATGCGAACTTTACATTGTACCACCATAACATTTGTGTGCCATATTCTTGCAAACAAATTATTATTATCTCTATATATAAAATTCTCGTGTCACAATGTTCGTTCCCATACTCCTCCGAAACGGCTCAACCGATTCTTATGAAATTTTTTATGCATATTCAGTAAGTCTGAAAATCGGCTACTATCTATTTTACAAACCCCTAAAGTCATAAGGGGTGTCCACCCCGAAAAAAATTTTTTTTAGTTTTTAGACAATTTTTTTTGTTTTGATTTTTAATGATATAGCATAGAAAAATACATACAACCCCTTATTTTCACCCCTCTACGATCAACCCTTATTTTTTATGTGTTAATTAAAATCTTATAACTTGAACTCCGAGGTTTATATAGAGAAAAATTCACATAAAAACCTAAGTTTTCATTCCACAAAACCGAACAGTCACTGGGGTAGCATAGCAAAAGGTTCCATGTTGGTATGTACTAAAAGGTGGGCTAAATAAAATCACATTAAGGAGAAACGAAGTTCGCGGGGGCAGCAGATATATAATTAAACTTACCTATAATAGGTATTATCATTTTTCACCGTCAGACAATGGTCGTCTATAGGGAATAAGTAACCATGAGCTGCCAATAGATGAGACAGGTGCAGGGCCTCCCAAGCGTCTTCCAGATTGAGGTGACGGGTCAACCATGCCACCAGTTCGGAGCCAGTGAAAACCTGAAAATTTTAAATTGCCATCGAACTGTAAACCATAGCGATTCCTTCTCTGACTATTTCTATCTGTGTATATAGAATTTATTTATTAAAGTGCACCACATATATAATGCTATATCTACAGTATATACAAGCTATCTTTTCTCATGACAAATATAGTAAACATAAATATAATATACCCTTCCAATTTTAGATTTTACTAGTAAGCAAAATATTATTAGCAAAACACCAGATAGGTATCAGATAGACACTTAAAATATTTTTTTACACGCTTTATATTAGCTTCACGTGTATGTATGTATGTATTCGCAATATATTTATGAAAATATTATGTATGTATACAAAAATAGTGATAAGTTTACTAGAATAGAACATACGCACAATGTTAATACACGGAACAAACGCAGGCTGCAATTTCCCCGTACTAGACTATCTAAAGTTAGTAATTCTTTTTTGGGGAAAGGGATACTCTTCTTTAATAAAATCCCAGAGGCTCTTTTATCACTGCCTTTCAATAAATTTAAGAAATGTATTAAAGAAAAGCTGTGTAAAAAGGCTTTCTATAAAGTCAACGATTATCTAGTTGATAAAAGGGCCTGGGACTAGTGCTAGACAGGCTACTTCTAATTAATTTGCGATATTTGTTTTAAATAAGTGTTGTTTGATGATTTGCTGTTTTAAAAGAGTACCGAGAGTTTTTTACGCCGGCTTTTTCTCTCGGCCTACACCCTCTGTCTTCTTTGCCGATGAGTAGGGATGCCTTCAAATTTAATGACGTGGAATAAGACAACTGATACATGAATCTTATGTTAATCTTCTAAACATATTTTATTTTATTTTATTTTTTATGTTGTAAACGACCCCTTTGAGCTCGATTTTGTCCTACTTTGAACGATTAGATTTAATTCAAACTTTGCGCACCTGTCAAAGATCGATGACAATGAAATAATCCGAAAAAATAAAAAATTAACTAAAAAATAAAAAAAGTTAAAAAAAACTAGAACACACGCGGTGCATGGTGTCAATAGTCATGAACATTTAATTGACAGATATGAGAAGGATTATCATTTCGATAATATCTTGAAAAGCATCCCCGCTTTTTTTTACAATAAAACATTTTTTTTCTTATTCAAACTATTAATAACTTATATTTATTTAAAAAAATTACATTATTCTTAATTAATATTTATTAAAATTTATTTTCTGTTTTTTAATTTAGTTTTCTATATAAAGCGTGTGTTCTAGTTTTTTTAAACTATTTTTTTTTTAATTCAGCACACTACCGAATATATCAAGGTCTGGATAAGTAGTGTTTCTTCTTTTATATTCACGAAGAATTCGAATATATATATATATAGTACCTGAGCTCCTAGGTTGGTTTTTGCAGACAGAATTTGAAAAATTCTGCTGATTTTAATCATTAGGAATGAATAATCGACAATGTTTAATATTCTATAAGGTTTCTGTTCTGTATTTGACAATTAAATAATTTGTATACGAAACACCGGTTAGAGATCTCCGATCGTAGAGTGACATTTTATATTTCTTAAGTTGCTGAGGGTACTATGGCAGAATTATGGCGGCTACACACTGGTAGACTCTTCTATAACCTTAAGGGTAAAGTTCCGCTATGAGTGTGAAGAAGACTTTATCATGTTGTCTTACAATAATTATAATCATTGGCCTCTCCATCATACAGATACCGGCAAACATCTTGAACATTAAACAGGGGAGTGGGGGAAAGTAAGCGCAGCGCGGAACACAAACGTCAACTGATTTACCAATCATGCAATCGACACGTCACTCTCCCGCCGCCACACACCACCGCCCCCCCTCTCAGTGATACCTAAAAATCGCTGCGCATGCAAGGACATTTAATCAAAATGTTTGCCAGTATCTGTACCAATAATCTATTTGTACTGAAAACGTTTGAGAAACCGTCAAACATATTGTATTAATTTTTTTTTTAAACATTTTCTCTTCACCAAGATATCATGGAACATTCTAGCGTAAATGAATACTAACAGGTAATTTAAATATAAACTGATTTACTTAAAAGGTTATTTAACATAACTTCAATAACACTACTTACAGTCTCTATTAAGGAAAAGACACTCTGTTCTTGTGTTCAATTTTTTCACTTACTACTTAAATTAAATATTAACACAAAATTTCAGTTAAACCATTCGTAATTTAAATTAAAACTGGTTTTAATACTAATAATTTGGTCTGAATTTGAAGCAACTAACTTTATATATTCTATATTGCTTACCGATGGTATTTTACTCATAAAGCTCTTGACGGTACGAACAGGCACCCCTGTGTTTTCATCTTGCATTTTCTCTATGATAGCTTCCATCTATAAATTAAATTTATATTCTATTAAAATTATTAAGTTTTAATTTGTTAATATGTCTTACATTAACTGCAGATCCATTCAAGAAGATGCATATAATTACTCATTATTGTTTCACCGGGAAGCGAATCAATAACAAGGTTGTATGATATATTATGTGTTAACAACTAAAGCCACAAAGTATTTAAAGATTGAAATTGATAAAGGATATATGTTAATTTTGTATGTCCACAAATTTTTCGGAAACTAAGTCACGTTGAGATGACAAATTTCATCAAAATCAGTTCAGTTGTTTTTGAATTAGCATTTACACATTTCTGAAGGACATTTGTATTTTTATGTAGCCTGTTAAGTTTAAAGTATAAGCTTTATAATATTTAAATTATATATTGGTCTAAAACAATATACAATGTAAAAAGAAAATTACAGAAGTACAGCAAACATTACCTTCTTATATGCCAGATAGTTAGGTGATTCTTCTGGTGAAGGTACTGTAGCCATCAGTGCCTGAACACTGGGTGGCATGTTAGCTATCATGCTCTCTCTGTCTTTCTTTTCTTTCTTCTCATTTTCCTTATCATCTTTTCCTGATTTTGCCACCTCTCTGTAAATCATGGATATTTTTACAGTGATGCAAATATTTATTCCCTATAAATATTATCCATAACCTGATGAAACCTCTATTCAACAATTACCAATGTCGGTTAAGCTAATATCCATAGAAAATATTTAGAATGTAACTGTACTAGCTAAAATTACAAAAACTAATAATAAAAGGAAAACTGACTTATTAATGTAGATAATAGAAATATTGAAAACAAAGATGCTGAAACTACAATATTTCTTATTAGCATAAAAAACCTGAAGAAGGATGTTAACAATTTGATATGTATTTTTCTTAGCAACACTATTACATACAATTACATGTACAAATAAACTGACAAATAAGTGTCTCACAAAGTTTAGAAGACAGCTAGGAAGTTATACCATTTTGTGAATAAGAACTGTATAAAATGTGAATAGTTTGACAACTAAGAAACTACTATGCATCTAATAAATATACTAGATTTTATACATTTTAAATATTTATCAAAGCTATAAGTAGCATAACCTATGTAAGGAATTCCTAAGCTTAAGATGCTTTTGGGCTTAAGAACCAATGGCTTGCCATAAAACTAAAAATTACAAAGATACTATGATTTTATATATTTTTAAAAGCTTTTACCAAAATTCTTACACCTAATATTAGTTTTAACCTAAGATTTATCATCATAAAAAAATCATGAATTTTAAAGACTGAGTAAACAGAGTTAGAACAAGAAATAAGAGTAAGTTTAAAGATTACGAGAAATTAGCATTAGGCAGCTAATTGGTGTAGCTGTTTTTTTTAATAAAGAATTATAGAACCTACTTGGAAGGTCCCTGCTGACAGGCCTTCTGAGCCGTCTTCTCATTTGAATTCATCGTAACCATTTTAACACACTCACTTATAAATTCCTGAGAAAAACTTATTAATGTTCTTTCATAGTGAAATATTAAATAATTTCTTAATAATTTACATTGCGATTCTTAACACAAGGTCACTAACCACAAACAAATTGAAAAAAACAAAAAGCACAATCCCTCAGGGCACTCATAGTTTTTTAATTAGAAAAATAAACGAAGCAACAAATTAATCTTTCGCTTGAATAGTTATGGTGGTCTTTCTTCAGAGATACAATTAAAATTCACATCTCCAAACCAACTTCGATATAATTTATCGAAACGAAAAATAGCGTTCGGTTTTCATTCAAAAATTACGAGAAAAATACGCGAAAAACGTAAATTTTCGCATTCGAAATCAGTGCACGGCGAAATGTCAAAATTTCAAGTAGCCATTAATCAAATGCACTTTTTGAACGATAGTGAGAAAACTGTGCCTTGCGTAAGGGAGATAGACTATATCTTTTCACACGATAAAACGAGAGGTTAGAGGAAAGATGGCTAAGCAGATAAATTGTGAGGAATGGATTTATGAATGATCTTCCTCCATGTGTAGCGTCTTTCTATTTCGTCGAATTATATTAGGTTTGATAAGCGCATGTTATGAAGTGATCGACTATTGAACAGTTGCTCTATTTTTAGACTCGCTTTATATACTTTTAAAAGGAGTACATATTTAAAAAGGGTTTAGAAACTATTTCGTTTTATTTTTACTGCACAACGTTCATCTGTACTGTTAAAAGATGGCAGCACTCATATTCAACAGTTCAAAAACCGTTACTTTTAAAAAATAGGCAAATATTTTTGTAAGTCTATATTGATGCTTATCCTTATTTATCCTTTTATCCTAGATCTGTATAAATCAGATAAAAGTTTACTAAACTTATTAACTTGGATATAAAATATACTATTATAAAATAGTTTCTACATTAATAAGCTACATTATATCAAGTCGTTTCGTTGGAATGTCTTTACATAAGGCTGGACAGCATTTTTGCATAAATATTTATCTCGTACAGAATATTTATTGTCCCTTTACGTAGTATTAACATCCATTGTTATCCACGTTACTCAGTACCATTTCTGTACACACTTGGATTTTTATTTCGTAGCTTGGATCGATTATTATCGGACCTAGGTCGATTATCGGATATACAATAAAAATAATATTATAAAATAAAAGATATTGTGGCGGTCTTTTTCAATATTGTTATTGGTAATAAAATATCATGGTACTTCTTGGGCTATTTGAGTTCGAACTAACACTAATCTGTAATTTTTTTTACGGATTTTGACAGTTGACAATATTTTTTATGTGCAGATTTTTTTTAAATAAGGTAGTAGTAGGGTAGGATAAAATCAATAATTTATGTAAAGGAAAGGTATTCTGATAGCCTTGCAGTTTGAAAGTAAGTGACCTTAACGAACGCGGAATCGCCGTTCTATTTCGTATCGCTTTTGTTACAAACTTGCTTCCGTGGGTTTACTTACAATACATCTGAAATAAACATATAAATATATATTTTTTAATACTCCCGAATGTAAGAACAAGACCATAGATAATTGAGAACTACAAAAAAAATTATAGATAAATCATAGATTCGTTACAAAACATATCTGCCTTGGGTTGTCATTAATAATAATAATAATAATTTATTGCAAGAAAAAAGGGGAAAAAAAAGGGGGGGGGAAAAACAGAAGGGGCGAAAATCCCCCCCCCCACAAGGGCCCGCAATTTCGTCTTTAAAGGAATTAACATTATTAGTCATTTATTTTTTATTTATTTATTTAATAACAACAATATGGCCAAACTTAGACAAAAACAATGCAATAAAATACAATTAAGATTTACAATAAGGGGCCGGAATTGTAAGAGTGGTACAACCCCCCAAAATTTCCCAAAAAGGGTTCCTTCGGGGAAAAAGGGAAAAAACCCCTTTAGGGTGTGAAGAAGCGGGGAATGGGCGCTTGGTGCACAGTTCGCAGCTATTCTGCAGCGGCAATATTTGTCCGGACGACATGGCGCTCTCCCAGCAAGTTTGTCTTTAAAGGTCTAATGAATTGATACATTATACAATATTAGTCATATGAATTGACCAATTCTTATATTATTCGTATCGTACATATCATATCATATGTTATTAAATTTATATCAACTACAGTGTCTCACGCAAATAATACCATACCAATACTCAATATATATAGGTAAGTATATGTTTTATTCATTCTTTTATGGCAGTGTTGGCCTTTTGGCTTCAGCTTGCGACTCTCATCCCTGGCCGCAGGTTCGAACGATATAGCACTCGGTCGTACGCAGAAGCAAAACATCGTGAAGAACCTTAGTAGGTGTCAGGCACAATAGGCTGATCTACTTTGCGTATTAGGTAAAACAAAAAACATAAATATAACATTTATTACTAATGAAACACACACAAAATAATAACCTACAAAGAAAAATAACAAAAAAAATGTTTTTAAGGAATAAGCTACATTTTAAGTGTGTAATGTGTGTGTCTTGTGGTAGTAATTGGCCCTGGCTCAGCATAATGATGTGGAGCAGATGTGTTCCACAGCGCTGGTCATTCTGCCAGAGACCACAACAGTCAGTTTGCGCTTTAGACGCAAAAGAAAGAAAAATAATGTTATAATAATAATAGTAAAAACTATCAATTATCAAATTTTTTTTTGCTTTCTATTTTAGATGTCTAAATGGTTTTAGCCTATACAACAATAGTTTTATTATAAAATGTAAGTGTTATGTCAAATAAAATCATTAATATATCAAAAGGAAGAGACCAGGGACACAGGGAATCAGTGGCGTAACTATACCACCTGGGTCCCGTGGCAAATCTTCTTTCGTCGCTATTCTTTTGATGGGGCCGTATCAGTAAAAATCGTCACGTTGTACTCAGTTTAATTTAAAAAAAACTAGACTTTCAGCGTACTCAATTACACGTATATGTCCCACTAATGGCCTTAGGCCTCCTCTCTTAGGCGAGAGGGAATGGTCTGTAGTCCCCACGCTAGCCCAATGCGTATTGGAGACTTCACATTCATCCATAGAACATAATATCTCTTGGGCAAGGGGCCTCTTGGCACCCTATTGTTACGCCACTGCAGGTAATCCTAGTGAGGGCTAGTGCTCTTTTTAAACTAAATATCCTTTTTATTATATATAATAAAGTATTATCTTTCTATATACACAATGGTATTATGTAATAATTACGTACAATATTAAATTAATAATAATTCCTCCTTCAGTCACCTCCTTTTCAGTTAGTACACCGTATTTTCAATGAATCTAAATCCATTAAATCGGTTTTTATCAAAGTCCTCATCTAAATCTAGTTTAATGCACTTGATTTAATTACTTCGATAATTGATAAATATCGATATCTTTCACTTTGATTGTTCAGCGATTATTTTATCATTTATATCGAAATTATCAAAGAATAAAAACGTGATAAGATACAAGTGGGGTAAATACCGGTCATGTTATAACAAATAAAATGTTCCTTTAAAATGAATCAGTGGCGCTACAACCTTTTCGGTCTGGGCCTCAGATTTCTGTATCTGTTTCATGATCCTTTCTTAATCTAATAGGCAAGAACTGACACACACCGTCGACTTTTTGGGTGTAAGGCAAGCCGGTTTCCTCACGATGATTTTCTTTACCGTTCGAGCGAATGTTAAATGCACACATAAACAGGAAGTCTTTTGGTGTACAGCCGGGGATCGAACCTACGATCTCAGGTTGAGAGTCGCACGCTGAAGCCACTAGGCCAACACTGCTCAATAGGTCAAAATGTATATTTTGACAGAAGGGAGTCATAGTTCGCTCTTAATCTTTCTGAAGCTTATTGTCTAGTCACTGAGTAGTACTCAGACTATTTTTATATAAATATAGTAGAATAGTTTTTTTATGATCTGTGCCTTGTGTCACCGTCAATTTTGCATCTGTTAATTCAGCAGATATTGAACCTGTTACTTGTTGGGGCTTAACGCACATGTCGTCTCTAATAAATTATTTGATTTGAAAGCTGAAACGTACTATTACCACGTATTGAACAAAATTGATTTAAAAAATCAAAATGGCCGCCTAAAAACAATTTCGATTTTTTTTTTCCTTTTTATACTTACAAATTTAAAACGCAATCTATAGACGAAATCTTATTAATGGATATATTATTATATATCTTATGCGACCATGGACTCTTGGCACTACGTTTTTGTGGGCAACGAGCCTTCTATCAGTGTCCATGCGCGGATATTACTTAACCGGCCCCCCCGCCCCCTTGTCCCCTTTTATAAAAAAACCGCGGCACTTTTTCCGGAAAAGTAAAAATCCAATCGTAAATTTTACTATTGAGCTATCTTTTTATTTTTTTATGCCAAAAACAATTTGACCTTGACTTACAGACAAGACGCGATAAGATTTGTTATCAACTAAAATTAACAAATTAAATGTGTCGTAATCCCGTAATGGATAAATAACAATCGACAAACTATGTTTAAATAATCGGATGGAAATATTCAATAATACAACGGGCTATAAAATTTGTGGTTTTAAAAAAAGTAAAACTGAACTATAAATTACAACCAGAGATAATGACAACCAAAACAAAGGCATGACAGATTGCTTAAATAATAACGCATTTACGTCAAAGTCAAAACATTCATACTTATGAATGTTAAAAAATATTATTTAAAAAGTTTAAAAATTAATATGACGCCAAGAAGGCACACTTTATATTCAACTGTATAAAGCGCAAATTCGGCCACACATGGAGTACTGTTCTCACCACTCCTGCTCCTCAATACCAGCTCCTTCCACTTGACCGTATTCAACGAAGAGCTGATCGAATCGTCGACGACCAGGCGCTTTCCGAGCGGCTTGAAATCTTAGCGTTGCGTAGAGATGTGGGGTCTCTCTGATTCCACCGCATTTACAATGGAGAGTGTTCAGAGGAGTTATTCGGATTAATATCTGC